CCAAAGCACGCGTGTGTGGGTGCATTCTTGATTATGCGGATTGTATTCTACGAGTCAGTTCGGCCAAAAGTCTACAATCAAGTGACTGGGAAGTATATGCGAGGCGGTTAGGAGTTGCTTCCAACAAATGAGCTCCATGTCCACTCTGGGAGAGCCTAGCAAGCTACCCGTGAGTACACTCAGCCCTTATGTTCAGATCCCAGCAAAGCTATACGTGGGTATCGAAATGCTAAACACATTTAAAAAAAAGCCTCATTCCCCTGACCCTGAAAGAGCCCCCAATTTCGCAGCGTAGGACGACTTTGGAGAGGCTGCAAAAAACCCAGGGCCAATAGAAGCTGCCTGGATTTCAAAAAACCATGGGGACGATCTGTACCTACAATGCACGTACACTTGCATCCGAGTCCTCGATAGAAGACTTGCTCATGCAAGCAAGAAGAACAAAGTACGACGTCATCTGCCTGGCCGAGACGAGAAGACGCTAGCCTTTCAACGATGTCTATGACACCGGAGAACAACTGTCCTTCGGAACTTGCGCCAGTAGAAGAGTCGGCGGCGTCGGCGTTCTCGTCAACACGAGTTTGTCTATGAACATCGATTCATTCGAACAATTTACAAGAAGAATCGGACGTCTACGATTAAAAAGATGTGGATCAATACCAGCTTTGACAATATTCGTCGTTTACGCGCCGATATCAAACTATGACGAAGAAGAAGTTGAAGCGTTCTATATAGACTTGAACAAGTTCTACGGAGAAGACCAGACATTCTTCAAGGACATCATTTAGAGATTTCAACGTTAATATTGGACCAAGAAGAACGTATGAAGAACGTCAGATTGGGACACACGGATTAGAATGGAACGAACAGGGTGAGCGGCTATCTGAACTTAACATGGCGACCAAGACAATCCATTGTAACACGCAATTCCAGAATTCCCACCCTTAGCGCTGGACGTAGAAGTCTCCCAATGGAGAGTAGGCTGAACGTTGATGAGATATTTGCAAAACTCTGGACCGCAGGTGTTGTGGTTGTATTTCGCTTAGTACCCTGCCGCGAAATTATAGTAGGCAGAAAATAAAAAGGTATAACATTGTGATTTCAACAACAGCTGCAGCTTAACTGGGTTCTATGGCGATTTGGGCGCTCCAGATCAATCCCGCTGACGGGTGACTGCTGTGGCAAAGATTGATAGAAATAGCTGAGGGACAGGCGAAACAATGGACCCGCATACTGTGGTGGTGAACGCGTTACTCCCCGGAAAGGACAATAGCGCGTTCGTTCCCCACCATAGACACCTGCTGTCCAGAGTTTTGCAAATATCTCAGCAACGTTGTGGTTGTAATTCACGAATACTACACAGATCCCTTCGATAGCAGTGTCTCGTCATATGAAATAAACGATGGATATGCTGTACCACCGGTTCTCCCTTCCGAAATCCGACATCCCATTTCGTCGGTGAAAAATCGAATAGCACCAGGCCCAGACAGCGTAAGATCAGAACACCTGAAGAACCTTCCGCCAGTCGTTGTCAACACATTGGCTGGGATCTTCACACGTTACGTATCTGAATGCAAGGTCCTTACTCAGTGGAAGACCAGTAACACAGTGTTATTGTTCAAGAAAGGTGACCTACACGATATTGGCAACTATCGCCCAATCTGCTTGCTGCCTGTCGTCTACAAACTTTTCACTCGAGTCGTCTTAAACAGGATTGACAGAACACTGAACGAAGGACAGTCATGTGAGCAAGCGGGGTTTCGAAAAGGATTTAGTACGATGGACCACGTCCACACGATTACAAGACTCATTGAAGTATCGCGAGAGTACAAAAGAGCGCTCTATCTCACTTTCATCGATTTACGGAAGGCCTTTGATTCAACTGAGATAGAAATAGTCATAGAAGCCCTTGATAGTCAAGAAGTCGCTACTCCGTACATAAAGATTCTTCGTGAGCCGTACAAAAATTTCACAACCAAGATATAACCATTCTACAACGATATTAACACCGAGGTCAAAAAAGGGGCTAGGCATGGCAACTCGCCAAAATTATTCCGGCACCCTCCGGAACGTTATACGAACATTGGAATGGGATAATATGGGAGTGAAAATCGATGGTTGGCAGCTAGACCCTCTTCGCTTTGTTGATGACATCGCTCTAATAACAGCTAGCATTAGCCAGGCGGAACTTACCGACTTTGATAACGCCAGTGGACAGAATAGTCTTCGACCAAATCTCACAAAATCGGTGTTCATGAGGAACGGATTGGTTTCGTATGCTCCATTCACGCTCAACAGAACGAATATTTCCGAATGTTCCAGTTATGCCTATCCAGGTCGGAAAATCAACATGTTGAACGACTTAGCTCCAAAGCTGAGCAGAAGGAAACGAGCGGCTTGGAGAGCCTTCAAGAGCATCGAGGATGTAATGCAGAGGACAAAGAACATTCGACTCCGTGGTCTCCTATTCGACTCGATGGTACTTCCTTCCTTCCCTAACGTATGCGTCAGAAACCCGCTAGCTGCGCAAACCGGATGAGTGATCACTCAGCGTTGTTATTGAATGTACAGTCGAAAAGGCGATGCTAGGAGTATCCCGTTCCACACAAGTAAAGGATGGGATCCGAAGCACCGACTTGCGTCAACGATCAAAAATCAAAGATGCCGTTCTGTACGCCAAACAGTCGAAGATAAGGTGGACCGGACACGTAGTGCACATGAACGACAACTGATGGAAAAGAACCGTTAGTGACTGAATTCTCCGTGATGTAAAACGTAAAGCAGGAAGATCACCGACTCAGTGGTCAGAGTTCCTCACAAAGAGCCTTGAAGAAAGATATGATGCTCGGCGTGTCCCTAAAGCGAGCAGAACCCACTGGGGTACTCTAGCACGAGACAGGGAAAAACGGAAGATTTACTGGCGCCCGTTTGAGTTACTCGACAATCAACGAGAGTACAGGTGACAGGTGACAGATCAGCTCTAATGAAAGAACACGGAGTCACTAAGACTTCCCATAGTGATACGGATCTAGTAACGGAAAAGTTTCACACTAACGTTTTCCGCTCCACAACCTCTGACACGGACGCTACAATCTCCTCTACTGAAAAACCAATTGAAATTCTTCCCTTTGAAGCTCGAGTTGTGATAAAGAGCACAAAAAAGTACGCTCTCAGAATCCGATAACATCACCGCAAAGCTTCATAGGGCTGGAGGCTATAAATTTCATTTACTTCTCGCAACTCATAGTACACCTACTTTCTGGAGAAAAACCCGGAACAGTGAGAACGTTGAGCACGTCATTCTGCCCAAGACGGGTGACCGAGGGAATCCACTTAACTACCGACCTTGACCTTGGTGCTTATTGAGCGTACTCTGCAAGCTCTCCACGACGATTTTCCTCTCGTGTATATCAAGGACATTGGGTGAGGCACAACCAGTTGAGTACGCAGGATTTCAACAGAGGATTTGCTGCATAAACCACATCCAAACCGTATTCAGGGTCACAGTAGTCCACCGAAAACACAACCAACCCCTAATCTGGCCTTTTGTGGACTACGAAAAAGCGCTTGACATCGTCACCACAAATGCAATCCTCTTAGTGCTCGCCGACCAGGGAGTGGATCCTTCCTAAATGGTAACTCTGTCTGATTGTTCTCAGTACTGCACCACGAATATACAGTTTTTCCATCGACCTTTTATCATATTCGTTAAAAAAAGTGGTTTGATGAGGTGACATCATATCACACCATCTAATCAGTTGGATAAGAAGTTCAAAGGAGAGTTGCCGGATAGAGGAAGACATCCGTTTAGTGATTGGTATAGAAGTGGTTGAGAGTTTTATCCAGAAAATTATTCACCTATTAAGAAATTCAGAGGCGGAAAGGAGTTCACAAGCATGTCATCCGGTAGATACGAAGGGTGCAGATACAAGGAAAGGAGAATCGATCAAATGTGGTAACTAAATGGAAGCATAAGAGAGTCACCAACCACAAATGAGATGACATTCCGAGCTAACACAACAAGAACCGTGCTGTTTATTGAGCCATACAATTTAAGAAAGCTTCTTGGACGCTCAAGCGACCTCACAGTTGCCTAGGTCCCACATGGGGGAAACCTGATCCTTGGTAGTATGTGTGATGCATTTCATGGTCAATATGTAGTGATCCCAAAGTGACCACCTTCGTTGCCAAATTTCCATTCCACTCTACGAACTGATTTTCAAACCACTTAATAAGCCGATAGCACCATTAGAGTAAAAAGCTGGGAATAGAAGGGCAAAACAAGGACCTCGGCTGGTGTGGTAGATAGCAAGTGAGCTGTATTCCACATTCTACCATGCACGAAAGAATATTCTGCAAATAAAAGTGAAACATTGAATTTTCGTGAGCACTGCCAAGGATAAACATCGGGCTTGAACCAGCAACGTTGCGCGTACTGTTTAACATTGCCTCTAATCACTATACTTCCTACGTCCTGATAAAATTAAGGTTAAACTAGATAAGGAAACTATTTGTATGTTTTGCGAAAATGAAGCCGCTGCTGTACACAATGGTAGCTGTTATGCCTTCACATAACAAAGAAAGATACATTTACTTAATACTAAATTGAAAAATGTATGGAATAATATCTGATAAACTTCTCTATGCTACATGTATAATATCGAGCGCTCAGCAACTTTCCTTGAGAAATTTAACACAGGTAGTAAAACGGTTAATGGTACAGACATTCCAAAATACTTCATTACCGGGGATATCACTCGGCTAGAAATAGTATCGACCAGGTATTCAGTGCAAGCGGTTAAAGTGTCGGTCAACGATACAGAAATTCCAGAACATACTTTACAAACAAGAAAATGAATGTGTCGGAAACGATATTAAACTATAAGAATCTATAGAAGTGTCTATCCCTACAAAAGTACAATCCATGAACACAAAGTACATATGTATAGCGGTACAACGGTGCAAAGCAGTGGAAAAAATCACTGCATGTTCTACACAGCTTAGGATTTCTGTACAGCCTCGCCGGATTTCACAACACTTTTATCCTCATATGTGACTCCAAAAATAGTAACTCCCGCAACAAGAGCTGTTACGGTGAGGAATTGGGCGATGATTCGGTAACGCATATACTTTTGTGCTCCCAGTTTGTCACCAATGAAGGACGATCTGATAGAATTATCTGTTACAAATGTATGAAGAATAAACAGGCAAAGATACTGTGTTAGGTATGAAGAGTCAAACCAAGGGAACAAAATATGCAAAAAGATGCATCGCTAACATAAAGGCCAGTTCCTGCTTATCCATTGGCGAAAACATAATCTGCAGATGTGTCAAAAAAACTTATGCTTTCAGTTTTGAATACATATGCCTCAGTTCACAGCAAAGTTTACTAATGCATATGCGCCTAAGCTTTAATATATTGGACGTCCAAATAGGACGACGATTAATTTTCCATCGTGCCAAGTAATAAATTCTTTAAATGATCTTTAATATCTCCTAAGTTCATCTTCATACATCTTCCAGTAGTTCTGGAACATTTCGAACTCTTGTGTTCGACGAAAAAAAGAATTTTGTTCACAATACAGTCACAGTATCACCCATTTCTGGCAAACATTTTCGCTAAAAATGCAGATTACACCTAAATATCTGCTCAGTGGAAAGGATGACTATGTGCGCTTCTCATCTGAAAATCTCTGTTGTAGGAGATGTAAAATCTTTTCGCTAGCAAGTCGGACGAAAAAACTCATGCAACAAATAGTTTTGCAAATATGTAGATTACCGTGTATAGGAAGTAGCTCATATCGCCGCATGTTTGGGGTAGAAACTTTCATTGCTTGAATATCAAAACCGTACCCCCGAAAAAAACACGGTTAGAACCGACTTATTTATAAATGTGTTAAATGAAAAAATAACCATTAGCATATATAGATCTCCCTCTATCACGATGAAATGCTAAGCTTCTGAAACCCCTTGAATTTACTAATAGTGTTTTTTCTTTCGCTTTTTGCCTTCAAGGGTCTTATGGGAAGTGAAACGGGGTTGGTGTAGGTACGGTGATATCCTTCATTGATATCGACGGGTAGAGCACTAAAGTCCTCACGTGCTCCTACCATCTAAACGGCCGCACGGTTGGCCCATCATTTTCAAAACAAAGAACTGAGAGTATTCGGGAAATAAAACGTGACAAGATGTCTCAAAGGAAAGTGAAAATACTATTCAGAACAGCTCCTATGGATGCGAAAACGTTCCGACTAACATGAAGTAACATCGATAACACAGCGGCGAACTGCAATATGTATTGTGCATACTTTTAACCTAACACACTAGTAAAACTTACAAACGCTGTCTATTTTCGAAAAATTGAATTGTTCTTTCACAATGGAAGATAGAGATTAACAATTCTTAACGCTCACCTGAACATGCCAAGTAAGGCCAGCGTGGTGAGACCCATTCCCAAAATTACACCTGGGTTACCCATTACTTGAGAAAATACACCAGTTTTCTTCTTTCCTCCAGTGTCTTTACCACTGCTGTAACCAATGTCGCTTGGAATAGCAGGTATCTGACAAAACATGATACAATGAAGAAGACACTGTTGAGGAAATAAAACACCTGAGCATCTACACACGCACACGGCAAATACAAGCATACGCCTGGAAGGAATAATGATACCGACGTTTCTATTCAGTTCTGAGCTAGAAAAGATTAGTGCACAAGATAAACCGCTATGATTACGCAAAAAATGGAGCATGAAGGTCGCTCCATTACTAGACTTCGTTAAACCCACTACTCCTACTTTTAAAGTGATACAATACGAAGCGATGACAAACACGCCAATATACGACTACTCGTCCGCTTTCTAAAGAATTTTCATTCGCTACAATGTCGTTGTCTTATTACGATTCATGTTTCGTTTATCCTCCCAATGGTTTCGCGCCTCATAGTGGCTAGGAGGTGTTCGTGGATGTCGGACTGCGATGTACAGTGGGGGATTCATAAACCTGGCAAGGTCTCTCAAGCTCAGGAGACCGGCGGTTCCATCAGGAAGCCTAGTTAAGGGTAGACCAATACCAGAGTTCACCACCGTCCTAGCATTAAACTAGTCCCATTGTGGCAAATCTCCCTCTGATCTACAAGGGCGGCGACTGCTTGTGGTCCCCAGGGAACCACAACAGCCAAACCTGCATAACTCCGAAAAAGTGGAAATTGTGCTGTGGCTCGCACAACCAGTTAAGACGGGCCATTCATGTATGCACCCAAGTGGTTCGCTTTATAAGGACTGAGCCACTTACAAGCGATTCTACGTAACGCGCCCATAGGTGGCAGATACGGGGTTACATAGATTAAAAACTATTTAATAACCGCTCTAAAACTGGACTCTCGACAAGGGTTCCTTTTTCCCCGTTAAAGCAGGTTGGTTCATAATTCCTCTTTACGCATAACAGCAATGAATAACGTGAGCGCACGCATGATTTCCCGCATCAGCATATCCTGCACCTCCAACAAATAAGCTACTCGTCCACTCTGAAAGAGGCTGATAAACGAACTGTGATTATGCCAAACTCTGTACTAGGCGTCAGCAAAGCGTATTGTTTCACTGCATCCAAACAGTAGTAAATGTTCTACTCTGAATTTAATGTGATCGTTCATTCAGAGGTCACAAGGTCACAAAGAACTCTTACCACTGACCTTACCAAATACGAGAGGTGGAAATGTTCCAGAAACATGGAAACTCATAGGGAAGAACAAAAAAAAACTCACACCACTATAACTTCCCTCATTGTCCATAGTTCGACGCATTTGTTCCGGTGTTAAATGGTCCTTTTTCCATTCATATGAACCTTTACGTGCCTCCTGAAATCGAATGAAAAGCCAGTATCATACATTGAAGGGAAGAATGTGAGCTGTTAAATAGAAATAAATGGTACCTGAACATCTGTAGCATTCATAAACACCTTACGAAAGATATCCATGCGGACACGCTAGATACAGGGACTGTTTCCTGCAAAGATATGGATGCTGTTACCTTGCAAGGAAAACAGAAAAATGAAATATCAACAACGTTCCCAGTTAAGGAGTCTAGATATGCCACAAAGCACGTTATATAACATTGTTCAGGATGACATGAAAGGAAACAAGAGGAAATCCTACATCTTCTCATGGAAATCCAATTTATACACTTCATTTATTAGATGTCTACAACGTAAATACACACGTAAGCTACGAAGAGCAGTTTAAAACATCAGACGACCACAGTATTCTACTTATTATCTGTCGACAACGTATATATACATGTAAATAAGGATATCAGATGGGTGAGTATAGAACAAAACATTATGAATCATCGAAATAACCTATAGTATAACAACCGAACGTCGTGTTGAACTGTCCAATTTGGTCTGATAAAGTAAATCTCTCATCACCAACATGATAGAAACTCTCAAAGTGTGGAGAATCCCTAGATAAACACAATAAAGAAAGTCCTTCATGGAATATAGGACATGAATAAAACGAGAACATCAAGTTGTTCACATTTTCTTGACGAAAACTCCAGCATCTCGATCACGAGTAATTCTTTGATGCGTGCTGAATTCACCAACGAAGAAGATTACGAAAAAGACGGTAACACCCACGAGGATGAAAACGACACGCATACGGTCGTGCATTCGATTCATCGTCCCAGTTCTGGAAAATTGTCATGTTAAACTTCAAGATTTACGACTGGAAACTATTAATGTCGACAAGTCTAAAAAACCACAACAATATTTAGTGAATATAACACCTTGCTGGAAAAAGTATATAAACGAATAAGCGGTTGAATACGATATATGGAAACACCGTGTAGCAACAGTGCTTCATGGTAGCACTTCCGGATGGTTATGGACTATTACGACTGAGCAACCATCATGATTTAAGGTGTCAAATAGGTTCTGTAAAAAGATGTCCTTCACCCAACGGTTCACTGCTTTATCGTGGCTGGGAGGTGTTCCTGGGTGTCTGTTTGCAAAGTACAGCGGGGAGGGAGATTCATCCATCCAGTAAGTTCTCCCGAGTCGAGAAAATTCCCCTCTGATCTACAAGGGATGCGACTGCATGCAGTGGTGAGGACCTGGGGTAGAATTTGGCGTGGCTGACCTCGCGACTCCAGGGAACCACTTTGGCTAAGCCAGCAAATCTCCGAAAAATGGAAGCCATGCTAGGGATAACACAACTAGTGAAGAACGGCCATTCAAAGTAATAAGATATCCAATTAAAAATCTACTAGTTCAAGACGTGGTTGTGATGAGCCTCTTACATTTCATTTTTTAACAAAAAGGAGAAGAAGCCCCCAAATTCGATTTAAAAAAGTCCCAATACGACCATAAACTGGGATTTATTCGGCTCATAAATCAGCCGCTGAGAAGATATCGTGTTAACAATACCGACAAGAAATACAATCGGTTCATTCAACGTCTTCACGTTAGCGCTATGAAATTCGACAGCTCAAAATCCACAAGGAGACATCTATCCCTAAGAACTCTCGATCAGAAACGCCTGCGATCGCACTAGCTACAAGCAACCAGCAACTCATGTCCAAACTTACAAAACAGTGCAGACAGCCGGTAAAAGTAGACCTTAAAGAAAGTAGAACAGCAGTTATGGTCGAAGATGCAGAGGTTGGAAAAAGTATTCGCGAAGCCCACCGAGGCCTCGCCAATTACAGGGTCAAGACGATTACACTCCAATGCCCAGACGAAACACAACGTCCAGAAATACAATAGATCAAATCATTCACGACTAGTACTCAAATCTCTTCAATTGCCACGCCCTCCTACCCTCATATGCAATAAAGGAGGATGGATATCTCAAACCGCCGATTCTCTTTCCGAAATCCCACATGCCATTTCGTCGGTGAAAAATCGAACAACATCGGGTCCGGACAGGAAAAGACCAGAACACCTGAAGAACCTTCCGGCAATCCTCACAAACACACTGGCTCGACTCTTCACATGTTACCTGTCTGAATGCAATATCCCTACTCAATGGAAGACCAGCAAGACCATTCTAATGTTCAAGAAGGGTGACCTACGCGATATCGGCAACTATCGCCTAATCTGCTTGCTGCTTCTCGTCTACAAACTTTTCACTCGAGTCGTCCTAAACACGATTGACAGAACACTGGACGAAGGACAGCCATGTGAACAAGCAAGGTTTCGAAAAGAATTTATTACGATGGACCACATCCACACAATAACAAGATTCATTGAAATATCGAGAAAGTAGAAGAGACCGCTCCGTTTCGCTTTCACCAAAGCTAGGTTTTGACTCAGTTCAGATAAACGCACTCAAGGAAGCCCTGAGGGAGAGCCAGGGGCACCTACTCAGTTTAAAAAGACTCTTCGTGAGCTACATAAAAAATTCACAACTAGAAAACCACCATTCTACAACGATATTAACATCGACGTCAAAACAAGGGTTAAGCAAGGGTACCGTTTCGCCAAAATTGTTTACCGCCACTCTCGACAACGTCATGCGAACATTGGAATGGAGCTGCATGGGAATGAAAATCAGTGTTCGGCAATTACAACAGCTTCGCTTTGCTGATGACATCGCTCTTGATAACACCAAACATTAGCCAAGCGAAACGAATGTTTGGCGACTTTGACAAAACCTGTGGAAAAATTGGTCTTCGACTAAACCTCAGAAAAACGATGTTCATGGAAAACAGATTGCTTTCGTATGCCCCATTCACGCTCAACGAAATGAATACCTCCGAAAGCTTCTGTTAGGTTTATGTGAGTCGAGATATCTACATAATGAATGACTTAGTTCCAGAGTTGAGCAGAACGAGACAAGCGGCTTGGGGAATTTTCAAGAGGATCGAGGATGTAGTTAAGAGAACAAAGAACACCAGACTTTGTGCCCACTTTTCGACTCCACGATACTTCCTATCTTACTGCATGCGTCAGGCAAGCTACGTAACGCGCAAGAGAAAGGACGATGCTAGAAGTAACCCGTTCCACACAAGTGAGGGATTGGGTCCAACCCTCCAACTTGCGTCAACGATCAAAAATCAAAGATGCCGTTCTATGAGCCAAACTTTCGAAGATAAGGTGGACCGACATGTAATGCATATTAACGACAACCGATGGACAAGAGCAGTTAGTGACTGGATTACTCGAGATGTTAAACGCAATGTGGGAAGACCACTGACTCGATGATCAGAGTTGTTGATGAAAAACCTTGAAGAGGGGTAAAATGCTCAACAACTCTCTAGAGCGAGGGTACCAACTGGCCTACTATTGCACGCGAAAAGGAAAAGTGGAAGACTTACCGGCGTCCGCTCAGGTCACTAGACTACCAATGGGACGATAAGTATAGAGGCGAGTCGATCAAACAGTCGAAGAACGTGTGATAGATAAAGTTAATTTTACGGAAGTTGAAACTATAGAATGGACAAGAACTAAGGCCATTACCTAGACTCCTTCAGTCTCAAGCTCTCAAAAATTTTATCGATTTATTAATTTCGCAACCTAAAACCGCTAGAAAGATAGTGAGTAGAAATCCCATTCGAATCAGCACCCTTCGGCTGCTAAATAGGCATGCGGTCTCGACTTCTGAGACTGTATATTACAGCAGAGGTAAACGCTAACAAATACACACTTTAATTGGGTGAATTACCGGTGCGTAGATGTCCAAATCAGTGATTTCTTCGCTCTTTAGCTTCTGCTATTATTTAAAGAAAAGAATGTCAAGCAAAATAAACAACGGCATGAACAAGTAAGAGTTGTCGGTAATAAGACGTTCATCCTGTGACACGTTTAGAAAGGCAATTTTTTCTGTCAAGCAATGAATAGAAAACCTCTTACGCAACGTATGGCGGAATATCACTCTGCCTTTGATACAATCTCGTAATTACCAAAAAGCGTTTCTGCCATTTTGTAGGCTGGACACCACTACCTGAAAAAGAAAATGTTACGAAACATTTCAATATATTTTAGTGACAAAGTCTCCACTTTGGCTAATATCCGATTGGTCAGTCAAATAGCCGTAAGAATAGTCCACTCACGTCATACACATTATATGCCGCACGTCATAAGACCGACTGAATGTCAGCAAAGTTCTTTAGAGATTCAAGAGGCGGCTAATATTCGCATGTGACAAAGAGCTGGGAATGTCCTAGCATGAGGTTTACGACAAAACCGCCCTTAGTTATCACACAATGTTCCAGTGAGGAGAATACTTTAAACTTTTTAAACTATTTTTAAAACTTTAAAACTTTAAAAATAAACTTTTTCCTTAACTTGCTCTTAACATCACACCTAATCTTTTCGCACACCGATTTAGTCCCGGTTACTACTCTCTTACAAAGATTCCTCTCCAAATGCTGAGCACAATGGTTTTCTTTGTATACACATTTGAAAATATTTTGCACAAATTAGAGGCTTGGCCATGGGAAAGCGTTTAGCACCAAGCCTTGCTATCGCTTTCATGTCTAAGGTGGAAGCTCCAGTTCTCGGTCATGGACCCTTATTCTACTGTCGATACATAGACGACTGCTTCACCGTCTGTTCCACACAAGAACGGATGGATGAGTGCTTTGAATTGTTGGAAAAACAACCAGACTATTTTTGCTACAAAGGCCAACCAAGAACTGGCTCCCATTCTTGTACATCCAAATAAAGGTCTCGGAAAGTGGCTACATAGCAAATTGGTATGGAAAGCCACGTAGTAGAAATATACTAGTACACCTTTACTTTCATTCTTCACAAACGAACAAAACACTCTTCAAATACAGATACCGAACGGCTAAAAGTGCTTGCACAGGAGAAGAGTACAGGGAGCATTCGCTAAATTTAACACGAAAAATATCCATTTCCAATGGATACGAAGCATAAGCCACTAGGGCTAGACAAAAACGTAGAGTCGTTCCTCAATATAATGTTTGGGACGTAAGTAATATTCCTCTTAAGCTACCCTTAATATCAAATGAAGTAAGTTATGCCATTAAAAAGTGCTTAAGAAAAAGCAGTCTTGAAAATTATGTAACGATTATAGACATCCCACCCAATACTCTACGCCAATACCCTACGCCGTCAGTTAGTTTGCAACTGTCTCTATGATCGTGCGTGCAATTCAGAAAACTGTTTGATTTATCCTAACGAGAGAGACGGGGATTACATAAGTTTAGGTATAATATACTTAACCTCATGTAACGCATGCGGTGAGCAATATATTGGGAAAACGAGTAGACCACTTTGTATCGGCATAAAGGAACAGCTAGATGGGAAAGTTAAGGTCCGTCAGAACACTCCTCTAGGTACGCGTAAGGAACAAAAGCACAATGGCGATGATTTTGAAGTGACTGTGCGGATACTAGCGCAGGAATCAAAAACGTCAACAGGCAAAACTCTTAAGGCGTTTTGGATAAATTTCAAAAATGCAAAGACGAACCGGAAAGACGAATGCCTCACTATCACCCGTGACCTGGCACCGTATTTCAAAATGATATTTCGGCCCCATGGTGTGTCTTGCTCGCGACCCCACGTGAACTACGTGTGGACCAGTCCCACTCGTAACATCACGGTGACTAGTCTTTCTGTTCAATATGGCGTCTATTTAAAAGTTTGATCTTCATTAATAGTTTAGCCTTACTACACCGAATAATTGATCTGAGGAAGGCGAAATCAGCCGAAACTTCAGCTTATTCGTGAATAAAGAATAATAACACCTCGCGTTTGCTCAACAAAAATAAAGAATTAGTTGATCAATGTTGAGGTTAATAGAAAGTCGGTCGTGGGAGTTACTGAAGTACAATGGATTGATTGACCTATACTACCAATATAGGCAATATAAAAGAACAAAAAAGGATTAAAGCTCACGGCGTTGATCAATCCCTGAGGGTTGCGCCATGCATTCGACTTAATTAAGCACGTTTGGAGGTGACTAAATGCATATGTGGCCTTTACAATGACTAGCGGTGGCCTGCGTGGTCTACCGATGTGTCGATCCAGTGGTGCTACACTTCCAGACAAGTTTGGTACGAATCTGCCGACCTCGGAGGGATGGAGGGTTTCGTGTGCCTGGGGCGCATGTACAAGTCCAATGTGTTCCACGCTCCTCCGACCACTGTGCAAAAAGCATCCTTCTCCATTAGGCTATACTAATCAACCGATTCATGAGGGAGTTTGTAATATAGCGCAGTTACCATTAAGATGAGTTCTGCAGCTGAGAACAATATGGCCGGTTTTCACTATTCAGCTTAGCAAGTACGTAATGCGGAGATCTATGGACTCGCCGTATTACAGAATAGACGGCAACGCGTGAACAAAGCTTTCAAGCAGTTTTAACGACGACGAAAGCCACCTGCAATAAAAAGTTGTACCAAAAGACTAGCATATGTCCAGGAAAAATCCCTAAAAACTAGCACATGTCCAGGGGAAACTCTGATCACTACTGGGTCAGCAGATTGAGACGACTCGTCTAAGAGAATAAAAGAGAATAAAAACAATAGCAGGATTCATCAACAGGCCACGTAAGTTACTCTGTAAGCCAAATATCAATGCAATCATCTCTACGATCACAAATGAATTCGAATGTATGGCTGTTCCACCAAAAGCTCATCTACGGACAACAATTTACCTTTTTACGAAAAAAAAAAAAACAATTCTATAGCGAAGTGTGTTAACAAATAGTATAAATAGGTGGTGATTTCTCTAAAAGGCACGATTCTCATGAGCCGTGCGAGAAAATGATTTGACCACAATAATGGAAGACGGAGGAACAGGAATCCACCTTTGATAGGTCTTGTAAAGATTCAGTACACAATAATTCAAAAGATCGACCTTTTCCAAACTTCGGTATAAATAGCTGACATATTTATTTAAATGTTCTTATGAACTGATGAACTAGTTTCATCCGCAGGTCACCAAGAGCGCGTGTGGCTCAGCGGTCCGAGGCGCCCTCCAACACACGTGGAATCGATCCCTGCGCCCATACCCACCAAGCCCTCTATCTCTCCGGGGTCAGTACATTGGTACGAGACTTGTCTGGGAGGATAGCAGCACTGGCTCGATACATCGGTAGGCCACCGCGAGTCATTGTAAAGGGCAGTTATGCGCATTCAACCACCTCCAAACAATGCTTAGCGAAGTCGAATTCATGGCGCATCCCTCAGGGGCGCATTGATCAGCGCTGAAAACTTTACCCTTTATCCCTTTCTTTTATGAACTAATCTTGTTGAGCTGATGCGTGATTGGCATAAGGTGTCGCTGTTGTCGTTGTTGTTGATCGATGGCTGACGTTTTGGCGATTTCGCGTTCCTCAAAGCCGTGCTGTTACCAGTAAAACTCAATTAGTGCTAACGAAACCATATACCAAACTCTTGTCCCACTCGTAACAGCACGGCTCTGAGGAAGGCCAAATCGTCGAAACGTCAGCCATCGATCAACAACAACACAACAACAAAAATGACAGCAACAACAACTTATACCAACTTCACGTCAGCTCAATAAGGGCAGTTCATAACAACATTTAAATAAATGCAGTACACAGCTGTTCAGTTCTAGATTTAAGTAGTAAGCACGCAATCGATGAACGTGTCCTGTTGAGGCTAAACAACTCACCAGCATCAGCGGAGCGAGTTCTCTGCGACTTCATTTGTTCACCGTACGAATCCCTCGTCGCGTACAAAGGGGCACCATCTTTCGCTTCTAATTGGTTTTCTCTCTTAAGCATAGATTTTTGAAAAGATCAGCACAAAACAAGCATAGAAAACTCCTTAAAAATATCATACCGCATTTATTTCCACTCTAAAACTAAAAGTTTGAAGTTCAGAGTGTTCTTAAAAATATGGGAGAACAAACTTTTGATTCTGGCCAGTCATCACAAGAAATAATAGAACACCCATGGTTATAACTGGCAGCGAATGCTGAACATAAGGATGCTACCGATTTCCTTAGAAATTCACGTGATAGGCCGCCAAAAAATGAATCGCATCGTGAAATACTCACCTTAATAGGCGATCTGTAGGCATCAGAAATCCTGTCCGAGACCATTCTTACCGGAAAGGGCACTGATGGAAGACGAGATGAAAGGAATACAAGGGATAGCCGCTCCCCACAAGCTAACATTCTGAAGTTCTCTTTTCCTGCTTCCTTCCAGCGAAAAAAACGAAAGGCCGGCAAAACTCGCACGGTGAAACTGAACAACGAAACCTGGCAATGCCATTACTTTGAATTACTTACTTCGATATTTGTAAACTTGCACGTCTTCCGTCCCGTCCAAGGTTGTGCGGGTCACAGCATAATCTCCACTTTTTCGGAGTTTCGCTGGTTTAGCCATTGTGTTTCCCTTGAGTCCCGAGGTCAGCCTAGCTAAAGTTTGCCTCTGGTGGTCACCACCACACGCAGTCGTCGACCTTGTCGATCAGAAGGAGATTTCCCACCATGCGACTAGTTTGATACTAGGACGGTGGTGAATCCTGGTACTGGTTTACTCTTGGCTGAGTATCCTGACAGAAATGCCGGACTCCTTCCCAGCTTGGGAGACCCTACCGGAGATGAGCCCCACGCTGCACATCGTTGCCCGACACCCAGGAACACCTCCAACCCACGGTGAGGCGGTAACAGTTGGGTGGTGTTCCTGGATGGGAGAATTACTGACCAATTGAAATAAAACGAGTAAATAACCAGAGCTTAGAATTATGTACATCACAACAACAAGATCAATGAGAAACCGCACTGGACAGCCTGTGGACGAGTTACCCCAGAGATCAGGAGACTGCAAACTGCGACAGAGCAATATTTGACATTAGAGCGTATTCCAAGATAATAATCTCAAATCTATCAGCTTTGTAGCTCACAGGCGTTTTCACAAAATATCATTTTCAGGGTTTTTACTTAAATTCTAGGAACATCATGACGTTTTGGTACCATTGTGTCCTTTGATGTTTTGATGTGATAAGCGGAAGGTGTGCTGTTTCCTCAACTCAGGATTACCTAGGAATGCACAAAAGCGCAAGTTTCTGCTTTCAAATTATTGCCTTATCAATAGAGATTTCGACGACGGAGACAGATCTCCTTTGAGAGTGCGGAGGATCGGCTCTGGTCGTGGCAAAAACGTGGTCTCGTGTCAAGTGACAGTCTTGTTGCAGAATTACGCAAGTTGGCACGTCCAACTCCTTTGCTATTCAGAAATAAAACTTAAGGCACAAAAGGAATCAGCCCTTTCCAGAGAGAATCTAGATGTGACGAGGTAAACCTTCTGATCCAGAAGCAGTAGCGCTTACTTGTAAGGATGACGTGAAAGTACTCCAGCACGTCCATCTGAAGATATCAGGCGGAAATCTGTCCGACAAAAGAAATACCCGTCAAATGGAAATTGCGCTGGAAACCGTAGGATTAATACGCGTATCAGGAGGTTTGCATGAAGCTTAAGGAATCTAGCGAGCAGGACTTACGCAGCAGTACTATGCAGCGACCGCATCAAAACGGTGGGTGGAATTACAAAAGTTTTCCAGAGGCATCCTTCGGTCTTAGTCCAAACCTTCGTCCGCTATCAAAAAGCGTGGGACAACATTAAGACGGACGTATGTAGTCAGCGCTTGTCGGCGAAGAAATAGAAGGAAGTCCTACACGAAAAGTCCTGCTGGTTGCTCTCGCAACTGCCTCACGGTAGTATCGACTTTTCACTAACCCCTTACCGTCCACATGGGATAAGAAGGCTGACAGTACGGTACCACTTCTCTGAAGCTGTTCAGCACCACTGTCCAGCAAGTTTATCGTAAAGCCAGTCGTTCGCAACAGAAAAGATGTCCGACGACAGCGTCGTGTATTCGGAAGGTCTGAACGAAGAAATGGAGAAATAATCCAAGTGAAGAAAGAAGAGAAGAGAGAGTGAAGGATTGAATGAGCGAAGGAAAACTGCGAACGAATCAAAATATAGGAGTAGAAATATTTCAAACTGAAACTTAGATTACGAAAAAACATTGCGCGATAGAGGATAAATCGATGGATCAACAAACCAACTGATGGAATGCGAGCTCTACCCACCACCTGTTCGTCTCATTGACTACCCCAACGGTGAGTACTTGAACTGCGCTTTCTGTTGTTCACCCTCAATTATCAGGGTTAGACCCGAAACAGAAACGACCTTATGCTTATCTGAAATGCAACTGGATCAAGAAAAAGACCCTCTGATTATAGCTCATTGATTTTTGCTATAAGCACTCTATACTACTTTCCGTCCATCTGTCGGCCGTTCTTCTTATCACATAGCTGACCCACCTGTGTTTCACCTTTGATATGTAATCTCTTGGTTCTTAAACATGGGATAGGTTTTGACGACCTCAGCTGCGCATTCCGGCTAAAAGTTGTGTGTTCCGTTTATATTTCAGAAGACATCGTTCAAGCCCTCTTTGGGTGGATTGATGAATTTTCGACGCACTTGAAATATACATCTCTGCTTCATCACCAAGCACTAGGAGGGTCATCGAGTAGAAAAGGTGAGCGCGATGTTGTGGGTTCTTTAATTGCTCCAAGACTTCCCTGAGCGGCGGGAACTTCATTCTAGAAGAATCCAAATTGCGATGCAGCAAAGTTTATCCAGCAATCAACACTGGTCGGAGAATACTGTTTAGGAAGATCTGGAGTTGTTATGGTGTGGATAGCTCCAAGAAAAAAACCACGTCCGGCCAGCATCTAAGATGACAAAAAGTGGAAGCTGCAAAGTGCTCAAACGAAATTTTAATCCTACACGAACATGACCGTCGACAATGTGGACAATGGTTTCGCAACAAAGAAATGAAAGAAAGAAATGCTAAACTCTGCATGACGAACCATCAAAGTGTCTATCGTAAATATATAAGTAGGCTGGACATTGCAAACTAAACTTTTAAATCTGTGTGGGCATTGTTAACGCTTCATATATCACGTTTTTTGCAGAACCAGCGTTGGTTGATTCAGTTTCTGATTTAAAATCCACAATGGAAATATGGAAATACAAAAGCAGTAAACAATTTTCGTCAAGTGTTCTTTAAATCAGGGAGGGGGGGGGGTTCATCCCCCAGCATGGCCTCCTAACCTGGGAAGGAGTCCGATCCGACGTTTCCATCTCGAAGCTCAGCAAAAAGTAAACGAATGCCAGAGTCCACCATCGTCCTGGTATCAACTAGTCGCATGATGCCAAATCTCCCTCTGATCCACAAAGGCTGTGGTGATGACCTGGGGCAAACTTTGGCCTGGCTGACCTCAGGATTCTAGTGAACCAGAATGACTTAACCAGCAAATCTCCGAAAAATGGAGATTATGCTGGGGCCTGCACAAACAGTGAGGGCGGGCCGTTCAAGTATCAAGTGTCAAGTAGTACGCTTTGAGGAGGAAACATCACTGCATCGATAGCGGGTGTATAGCCGTATAGTTCGTATGTTTCTAGAACTTCTTTCTTAATATTATACTATACGAGTACGGATCTACAACTCGGTAAAACAACCATGCGTGATTCTCCGAAAAAAGCATACGTAAGGCTGGAGTGAAAACTTAATCCTATGAAACTGGACAACAACAATCGCCAGTTGGTGGGGAGTTAGAGCGAGGTGGTGAAACAGCCGCCGAGACAAAACACGAGAGAACCTGCCTCTATTGTGTGTTTTGTTCTCCAAGCGTACACATCGTCCGTGCCATTGCGTGCCGTTCTATTGCGTGCCTTTCACCGCATGGTAACGTCACCTTGAAAGTTTATTAGGCTCACAGATATGCAACAGCTTCGGTAGTTCTCTTTATAAGGAACAGCATGGAGTATTTTTAACGTGGGATCGGTTAATGCTACCTGGCTGCATATTGGTACCAATGGCGGCTGATCTGATGTTAGCACGTCTCCTCATACACGTGTGGTCGCAGCTCTAGGTCCTCAGCTACATTATCATAGCCCACAGAGGCTATTTATACGAAATTAAGTCGGTTTTTAGCGTTTAAAATGTTGGCAATAAGAAGGGTCTGTCACCTGGAAAGGCATGATGTTTTCATAGTCACCTTTGATCCACCCGAAGTGTGCATAACTGTGAACGGAAGACAGCTGTCGTTGCCTCGTATGTGAGCCATTATGGAAACTAATCCTTAGTATTAGATATAAGTGTAACAGTGCACACAATATTTTCAGACATTTTTATGGCCACTTACACGTCCACTCATACACAATGTAGAGAATGTCACGTGGAAGGCGTTCACTCCCAAGGTCAATAATTGATAATACGACTTGGTTGGGTCATGTCAATTGCGCTGCGTTATCTGCATTACCATTCGTAGGTCTTTCCAATGCTCTGACTTCCTAACCATAGCTGAACTAGGTTAAGGTCACCCAGCAACTCATAGTTTTATCCCGAAAGTCGCAGACTTGTGTTCTACGTCAAGTTCTCATTCGCTATTGCAGATGGTGTTCGTAGGTGCTCTACTTCGGCGGTCGCTACGTCAGATGCAGTGTCGTGAAATGGTAACGAAGATTGTCAGCAGCCAGCCGATAACGTTAGAGGAAAAAAACGACGCACTGGAAGTGCTCCTTCAGCGAGGTGCGATCATAGTTCTCTCATTCACGACGTTACGGAGTCACATTTTAGATTCCACGGTATTCCGACCTCTTCTTCCTTTCATTATAAAACTACCACACTACGACGCTAACTAAGTAACACTTTAGGATTTTACACCTTTAATTTCCTTCGAATCTTCGAATATTATACCTTATTCGGTTGGTAATGAACAAATCGTCGTAGTATTATGCAAAATATCGTAGAAATTCTTTCCTGGAAAGCAGGCGGTCAATGGCTTCATGGGAGCGCATATGTTAAAACGAAGTCTCATTATTTTTGAACAATCTTATTTATGAAATGCATCCACAATGATGCTGGGATATTCGCAAAACTTGGACATCCAGGCCAGACCGAACCACGACTACGTTTCCAGAGGCTGACGTGTTTGCCTTTCCCTCAGGTATATGCACAATGCACACTGGAATCCTATTCATGGTTATCATACTCCGTGGTATTCATTTGTCACCTCATTGTATTCTCTTTGATCTTCGAATAATTCGTGGTGCACCAATAAACTTTTCATTCGTACCATTGCCACCGCGGTGAAATAGGTTCTGCTTGTTCGGGTAACAAGAGGAGCTTGGTTTCCGTTTATGGTCCGTTATTTCAAGTGTTTTTGGCCAAATGACTTTTAAGGTAGCTTATATGACTCTCGTAGAATATTTTTCGAGTTGGGCGCTCTGTTCGTGGTGACATTGAATAGAAGGCGATGTACATACCAGTCACCTGATCGTAGACTTAGCAGAGTTGACGTGGGGGGTACAAGTCACGCAAGGCCACTCACTATATTCGAGTACGTGAGAGCGGCACTTGTAGAGAATAATGGGGTAAACAGCAGCGTGAAATCTTTTGCTTCGCATTGAACCGCTTATCTCTTTTCTTGAGATGCGCCATGTAACCTCAAGATCGATCTGACCAGTTGATAAATATTAGTTCTCTTTCAGTGTATACAATGGCTTGTGCAACGTACTTCGTAGAAAAGTCAAAAACAACAATGTAAGAAGTAGGGACATTGGATGAAGTAGTTTTACTCATTATTCTTGAGAAAAATAAAAGAATATTCATAAATTTCCACACGATTTAGCCACTCAGAGCTGGCGTGAGTATCACACATCGTTTTGCCTGATATATCCTTGAGAAGGCATAAACCATTATTAAACAACACAATTTCACTCGTTCAGAAAGTGATTTGTGCTACTCTCGTAACAGTTGACAATATTTTGAGATAATATTCTTGATAAACATTAGCGTAATGGTTAACAGTGCCTTGCGATACACTTGTGGTCTCTGGTTCGGTATCGCCTGGGCAGACCGAGCCCTTCATCTCATCGTGTTCGGCGTTCTAGTTTTGCTTTGCTTTGCTCCTGCGGAATGATGAGAAACACTGACTTAGTACATCGATAAGCACATACAAATCATTGTATAAGAGAAATACACATTTCGTCAGCGCCATGATACTTAATGGACTTTAATGCATGACGCATGCTTCTGAAATTTCTTAACGTCGGAAGCTTTCAGTTCCTTATCCATCGTTTCAGTGCTCTATGATAACAGTTTTTATGGTAGTTTTCGGACAAGTACGTACGAGTGGGCATTTAAAAATCTGAGAATTTAATGCTGAGCCCTGCTATAACACCACTTCATATGCTTTATTATTTTGAGGAACCTTTCAGGACCTGTTACCAAAGCGCTTACGATCCCTTTGGTATGGCTAAGGGACCATTGTCGACAGCCAGCAAGCTACAATCAAGCAACGAATCAGCGCAAGTCGAATGCCACCAATCTTTTTGAGTGTGCTGAAATTGATGGGATGGAGAGCGTGAGCATCACCGATGGAAATAAGCTGGCTATTCGGTGGAAGGATGGCTTGCAATCCCAATTCCACGTCAGTGACATCATGGAATGTTCAGAATTGGATCGACCTCCCATTCTCTCTAACTATGTAAAATCGTGGAAACAGTTGTCACCGGACGAGCTGCCACGAATTAACATGTAAGAAAAGGTCACGAATGCGCTTCGTATTATACTTATTGATCGGTTTCCGTTTTTTGCTACTTTAGTGTGTTTTTGATTCCTGTGCCATAAAGTGATATCTATCTAGACCTATCCTTAACTAATGATTACTGTAATTTGCCTTCCCTACGAAAGCCAACTCCAATCTAACTTTTCAAAACAACACAAACCATTATAGCACACATGATAGCACGTGATATGTAGATAAAGTTGGTGGAAAAACACTCCGCGACAACATCTAGTTTGCAAGGAGTGTGGCCAGCATTGGATTATACGTAATTTTTTGCTGTGTGTGTTATGCATTTAGCTCTATTCATAAGGCCCGAGATCTCCACTACAGGGCATGGAAGAATCCCCTAGATAGCCAAAGGTTAAAGTGTAATCCAGAAGGAAGAGTGTCTTACTTTTGATTCTACTTTAAAACGTATACATAAGTACTTAAGGGACAGATCTTTTACATAGGTGATTTACATACTCATTAGGAGTATCGTTGAAACGTGCCTCTGATTACCCTCCAAGAAGTGATGCGTTTATCTAAGTATCGGGTTTGACTATAACACGTTACCGACTTTGAGCACTTTTTTGTGTTTGATTTCATTAAATCATAATATGACTTAAGCTAAGGGTGCGTGTGGCGCAGTGGTTGGAGGCGCCGCTGCGACACACACGTGGAATCAATCCCCACGCCCATGGTCCACCAAGCCCTCCATTCCTCCGGGTTCGGCAAATTGGTACCAGACTTGTCTGGAAGGGCAGCAGCACTGGCTCTATGCATCGGTATGCCACCGCGAGTCATTGTAAAGGCCAGAGATGCATTCGATCGCCTCCAACAATACTTAGTGAAGTCGATTGCATGGTGCATCCCTCAGGGATTAATCAACGCCGAGAGCTTTATCCTTTTAGCTTTACGACTTAAGCCAGCGATATAGTTCCTGTAGTCATGAAAGTAAGTCGTTCTTCGGAATCTGAATCTTTAAACCCCTTCCTCCCAAAAACAGATTCGCGATTTGAAACAGTTGGAAAGTGCATTTTTGCGGCCTTCGTATTCCTTGAACTCGTTTTCGCCCAAATGATGCTTCGAGTCTAGCTACTCAAGGAATGGGGACGATAGTTGGTTTTAACTGCTTTACATCTCCACTGGAAAACGTTTCGTGGTGAGTCGAGGGTTATGACGCAAAACGGGACTTTAGGTGGGATTCTGAACCATTTCGATCGCTCTCCTTCTACGGCAGCAGCGAGATTGCGGTGGTGCTTTATGTTTCAGCTGGCGCTGATCATTTTGTTGAGTTGCAGCAACTCGTAAAAAGGTCTTTACAAATTCCAGAAGACGGACGATATCAACTTTGCATCCGTATGAATTCGGTCTCATTTGAGATCACCAGTCTAGAATATCTGGTGCATGTTTACCTTGTTGTAAACCCATGTCCCGTCTTAAGTCATGATCCCTCTCAGAAATCCTTGTTTTGCTGCATGAAGCTAACATGACCAGTTTATCGTCGCTGAATAGCCAAGGAAACCTTGATTTGGGAGGCCCTTTCAGCTGAGGCTTTTGAAGATTCCGATAAGCGTTTAGTTGAGGATAGGAGCATTTTGTACAAAAATCGACAAGGAATTTTGTCTCAACATAACTTTTTCTCCTGAATAAATAATGTTCTAAACGGGACTATTAAGGTCAGTCTGCAGCTCATTATTTCTACTTGAAAGCGGAGTGAGCAAGGTTGACTATTATAAACTGGAAGAATCTGAGTACCTGATTAACTAATATGGAAAACGAAGTCGTGCTACTGTAACGTTCCATCAAATCATAGCTCTAGTTGATTTCAGATCAGGATTCTCCATGAAGGCATTTGCGGATCTATTTTTGAAGTATGGAATGGTGATCGTCGATGGAGTGGAAGCAAATCCTCATGCCACTGAACAATTTTGTCGCAACATCGCCCCAATTCATAATACGTTCTTTGGTTCATTCTGGGTGTTTAGCAACGAAAAACAGGAGAAAGGGGTGCGTTCGTGGGATTTCTATTAACTTTACAATTCAGTTGATTTAGTATTCGGATAAAACATCATTCTTTGTGCTGCACGAAAGACGGACGGTGAGTAATCGTGCCTACATGAACTTTTTTCGCAGCTGGTATCAGTTGGTAACCTGAAAGCAGAGGGATGAATTGATGGGAATGAGTAGCCCGTTAATTATTTATATCATGTGTGCATTTTCAGGAAGAATATCACGAAGATACGGCATACGGAAACGAATCAATTGGTCCGCACACTGATGGTACATATTTTCAACAAACACCTGGAATACAGGTGCAGTCAGTTTTCCAGCTTGTAACATAGTCAAGAAGTTTCTCCAAGGCCTTAGAAATTTTCTAGCAAGTGTTAGCTTCATGATTTGTGTTTTAAAACCTATTTTCACATCGTATTTATTGGTACCGTCCAGGTCTTCCACTGTCTTCATGTTGCGGAATGTGGAGGCGACACATTATTGGTTGACGGTTTGTATTGCGCTAATCAACTAAAGAAAGGGAATCCAGAAGCATTCAGAATACTAACTGAACATAAGGTGAGGTAGTTTCCCATTTTGCTTATCTTAAGCTACAAAGCGAAAGCTTTCTGCTGTTCTGCGTTCCAATATAGAAGAGTGGGAATTCTGCGGTTTCTGACAGAGTTTGAACAAGAGGTGTGAAATATTTCACGTAGAAATGAGCTACTTTAATGGAAGTAACAGCAAGAATACGCTAACAGTATACTATCGTCGGTGAAACGTTGAAGGTGCTGTAGAGTGCTCATACATGCTCACACCCACTTTTTTGAGATCGTGGTTTTCGATGTCTTGAGAAATGTTCAGGAACCTCGGCATTGTTTACACTGGGCAAAAATGCGTAATTTCGATCAATTTCGATCCCATGAACACGATTTTTCAAGCTAACCACCACATATCTACAGGGAGAGGAGTTCGAAATCGGGAACTTAAGTGGTTGAAATTATGAAACGGTTCCACAACATGTAGCATCAAAGATCAAGCTACTCGGATTCGTCAGTTAATTCGAAGGAAAGTGTAAAACGGCTGTATCGCGCGAGACGCAGTACGATATCAAAAAAGCATCAGTATAGATCGTCCTTTGCAAAATATCGATTACTAACCGCAGTTGCATCTCTGCTCCAACATTGCGAAGGCCGAAAGAAGCAGACCCACGGATCTCTCTCATATGAGGGATCTCGAGCCGGTTAGTCGCGAGGCTATGTGGCGCGTCCCCAGGTGGCGGATGGGGGTTAATCGCGTACCAAAAGCGACCTTTGCTTCCCTGAGACGCAACTAGATCCAGGGCATGGACTCCCTGTTTTTGCTGCGCTGATTTGGTACATACTTTCCGTATTTGTTAGGCGTATTCACGCATGCGTGTGTGGGTGCGTTCTTGATTATGCGGATTGTATTCTACGAGTCAATTCGGCCAAAAGTCTGCAATCAAGTGACTGGGAAGTATATGCGAGGCGGTTAGGAGTCGCCTCCAACAAATAAGCTCCATGTTAACTCTGGGAGAGCCTGGCAAACTACCCGTGAGTATTTTGCACGTGGACCATCGACTCGGATCATCGGCTCTGAGGAAGGTGAAGACGTCGAAACGTTAGCCGAAAATAAATACCATTATCAACCTCGTGTAAGCTTATCAAAGAAAGAATACATATTGATTAGTGACACCGAAGTTCAAGGAAAGTCGGTTTCGAAATACCAGTGAGTATACCTAGCCCCCACATTCAGAGCCCAGCAAGCTATACGTAGGTATCAAAAGTGCTAAACACGGTGAAAAACGGGCCTTATTCCCTGACCCCGAAAGAGCCCCAAATTTCGCAGGGTTGGGTAGGACGAGAACGGAGAGGCTGCTAAAATCTTAGTGTCAATGGAAGCTGCTTAGATTTCAAAGAACTATGGTGATGATCTGTACCTACAATGCATGTAGAGTTGCATCCAAGTCCTCGACAGAAGACTTGCTCATACAAGCAAGAAGGATAAAGTAGGACGTCATCGGCCTGGCCGAGACGAGAAGACGCCAGCCTTTCAACGCCGTTTATGACAGCGGAGAAGAACTGTTCATCGGAACATGCGACAGTAGAGGAGTCGGCGTTCTCGTCAACACGAGTCTATCTATGAACATCGATTCATTCGGACAACTTACAACCTGAATCAGACGTTTACGTTTAAAAAGACGTGGATCAATTCCGGCTTTGACAATCTTCGTCGTTTACGCGCCGACCTCTAACTATGACGAAGAAAAAGTCGAACCGTTCTATATAGACTCGCGCAAGTTCTACAGAGAAGACCACAAATTCTTCAACGTCGTCATTGGAGATTTCAACGCCAATATTGGACCAAGAAGAACGTATGAAGAACGTCGCATTGGGACCCGCGGATTAGAATGGAACGAATAGGGTGAGCGGCTATCTGAGTTTATCATAGCGAGAAAAACAATCCATTGTAACACGCAATTCCAGAATTCCCACCCTTAGCGCTGGACGTGGGAGTCTCCCAATGCAGAGTACCATAACGAAAGAGACGGCATCATAGTAAATAGAAGGTTTTGCCTAACCGATACCGCTGTTGTTTCAAAATTGTACACCGGATCAGACTCGCCTCCTTCGTACAAGATTCTATTTCTCGCGGTAAGGAGAAAAAGCAGCTAAACACCAAAACCGAAGTCCCGGAACAGCCATAAACTGGGACTTATTCAATTCATTAGTCGGCTGTTGGGAAGATGCCGTTGTCGATAACATCGACGAACAATACAATCGGTTCATTCAACATCTTCACGTTAGCGCTATGAAAGCTCAGAGTTCAAAAGTCACCAAAAGACGTCTGTCTTCAGAAACACTCGAGCTGATACGCCAGCGTGGAATCGCACGAGCTACAGGCAACAGCTAACTCGCCTCTGAAGTAGCAAAACAATGCAGACAGGCGATGAAACGAGATCTTAAAGACAGAAGAGCAGCAGTAATGGTCGAAGCTGCAGAGGCCGGGAAAAGCATTCGGCAAGCCCACCGAAGCTTCGCCAATTACAAGACCAAAATAATTGCATTCCGGCGTCCAGACGGAACAGCTACAGCGTCCAGAAAGGCAATGGGAAAAACTATTCACAAATTCTACTCGGTTCTCTTTGATAGCCACGTCCACATTCCGTCATATAAAATAAAGGAGGATGGATATGTTGTACCACCGGTTCTCCCTTCCGAAATCCGACATGCCATTTCGTCGGTAAAAAACCGAACAGCATTAGGTCCGGACAGGATAACACCAGAACACCTGAAGAAACATTCGCCAGTCGTCGTAAACACACTGGTTCGGCTCACGTTACCTGTCTGAATGCATGGTTCCCACTCATTGGAAGACCAGCAAGACCATGCTATTTTTTAAGGGTGACCTACACGATATAGGCAACTAATGCCCAATCTGCTTACTGTCTGGCGTCTACAAACTTTTCACTCGAGTCGTCCTAAACAGGATTGCCAGAACACTGAACGAATGTCAGCCATGTGAGCTAGCAGGATTTCGAAGAGGATTTAGTACGATGGACCACATCCACATGGTAACACGGCTCATTGAAGTATCGCGAGAGTACGAAAGACCGCTCTGTCTCACTTTCATCGATTTACGGAAGGCCTTTGATTCATTTGAGATAGAAGCAGTCTTAGAAGCCTTTGATAGTCAAGTAGTCGCTACTCCGTACATAAAGATTCTTCGTGAGCCGTACAGAAATTTCACAACCAAGGTATCACCATTCTACAACGATATTAACATTGATGTCAAAAGAGGAGTTAGGCAAGGCGATACCATCTCGCCAAAATTATTTACCGCCACCCTCCAGGACGTCATGCGAACATTGGAACGGATTGATATGGGAGTGAAAATCGACGGTCGGCCGTTGCAGCATCTTAACTTTGCTGATGACGTCGTCCTTATAACACTAAGCATTAGCCAAGCGGAACGTAGGTTTGACCACTTCGATAAAGCCTGTGTAAAGATTGGTCTTCGACTAAATCTCACAAAAACAATGTTCATGAAGAACGGATTGGTTTCGCATGCCACATTCACACTCAACAGAACGAACTTCTCTAAATGCTCCAGCTATATCTATTTATGTCAGGAAATCAATATGATGAACGACCAAGCTGCAGAGCTGAGCAGAAGAAAACGAGCGGTTTGGGGAGCTTTCAAGAGCATCAAGTTAAGAGAACAAAGAACATTCGACTTCGTGACCACCTTTTCGACTCGATGGTACTTCCTTCCTTCCCTAACGTATGCGTCAGAAACTTGGTCGCTGTGTAAGCAGGATGAAAGATCGCTCAGCGTTATTGAACGCCCAATCGAATGGGCGATGCTAGGAGTATCCCGTTCCACACAAGTAAGGGATGGGATCCGAAGCTCCGATCTGCGTCAACGATCAAAAATCAAAGATGCCGTTCTGTACGCCAAGCAGTCGAAGATAAGTTGGGCCGTACGCGTAATGCGTATGAATCACAACCGATGGACATAAGCCGTTGGTGACTGGATTCCTCGGGATGTCAAATGCACCGACCCGATGGTCAGGGTTTTTCACGAAGACCCTAGAAGAAAGATATAATGCTCGACGAATTCCTAGAGCGAGCAGAACCCACTGGGCTACTCTTGCACGCGACAGGGAAAAACGGAAGATATACTGGCGCCTGCTCGAGTCACTCGACGATCAATGGGATTACGGGTGACAGGTGACATATGATGCTATGCACCTACTAAAGGACCCGTTTTTTCTACTTCCTCTCTTTCTTTCCGTGTTAAATAACTGAAGTCCATTATTATCTTATTTCATGCGTAGCCAATAAAGAAGTTAATTTACAGGCTTATACTGAAGTATCTTCTTTCTGGGCTATCCTTTACGGAACTACTAAAATCGTGGAATTGTTTTTAGATCGAACACAACTATATCGAGGTGGGTAATGGAGATGCTGAGCTTTACTTCATATCGAAAGAAAAGACAACAATTGAGCTCGATTCAAATGGGAATATCGTGCAAATCAGGTGCGGATTTAACGATACCGTTGCTCTGATTTGATGTGTGCATGCAGAAGTAAGAAGCAAGATTTCTTGAAAGAGAAAAGCCTTTAACTTAATAATTTGATGTACGCTAAGTTTTTCATAACGTTCTAACTTTCACGACCGACTTTCTATTAACCTCGGCATTGATCAAGTGATTTTCTTCGTATTTTTGTTGAGCAAACGCGAGGTGTTACTATTCTTTGTTCACGATTAAGCTGACGTTGCGGCGGATTTCGCCTTCTTCAGAGCCTGGAAAGGTCAAGTTGATAGCAATGCACTCGGCCATACGCTCCATAACCAAACAAAGAAACTCCAAACCAAGATTTCAATCACTTTGAACACAGCTTTGCACACTCACCGCTTTCTACGAGGTTTCCACTAAGTATGTCACGTAGAGGACTAGGAAATCAATGTGGGCCGTGTGCTTCAATAAAGCAAGGTACTTTATCCTTTTTCGCTCTCAGTACAGAATGGTAATGCTGTATGCTAACAGTGAATTCAAGCTACCTGACTTAAGAGAATATTGTGAGCTAGGCTGTCGCACGTTAATCTAAACGTCTTCGCTGTGTTGTGTTCATATGTGCTATACTTTCCTCTCTGTCTACTTCGCTAGTTGGCTAAAAGCGCTTGCAGAGCAGCCCTTACAATACACCCGTCATCTTTAGTTCGACCCAACATCGCGAGCTATGCCCTTCATGCTTCCGAAAAAGTGTTGCAGAAGTTCATCAACAGGATGGAAACACTGAGCTAGCACATCTAAAGACACTCACAAGCCGCTCTATAAGCCAAATATGCATTGTATTCACCTACATGGTGATTAAGGTGCGCGTGGGGCAGTGGTCGGAGGCGCCCTGCAACATACGTGGAATCGATCCCCTTGCCCATGACTCATCAAACATTCCATCCCTCCGGAGTTGGCAAATCGGTGCCAGACTTGTCTGGGAGGATAGCAGCACTGTTTCGACACATCGGTAAGCCATCGCAAGGTATTGTGAATTCCAGATATGAATTCAATCACTTCCAAACGATGCTTAATGAAGTCGAATGCATGGCGTATCCCTCAGGGTTAACGCTATCATTTACTGTCTTCCAACTATTTGTCTCTTTTTCCTAAATGACCGCAGTCATCGTGTAGCTCGAATCGGCATCACTGATGTTAAACGACTGTCCACTTGTTCTCATCGTCGTCTTTTACATCTATTTTTCTCTTGTCAATGTTGAAAATATTTTCAAATGTCTTAAGCTGGATAGGTGGTAAGTTCAGCTTTATAACATATATGCATATACAACATATATGTTTTTATATAAGTGGTAAGAGGAGGGTAATGGCAGTGATGCTGTTCATCACAAGCACGATTCTGGTTCAATCTCGCCTTGGGCACCAGGTTCTTCTTGCTTACTGATTCAGAAAATCGTCAGATCTGTGTGGGGATAGTCCATAGCTTGCAATCCATATGGGAGCACTCTATCCCAGAGCCTACTCGACCAATATTCAACGGCATTCATAAACTTGTATACTTGGATAACCCGTCCTCAATAGTTATAGGGGCCCCAGCAGAATCTCCACTTTTTCGGAGTTTTGCTTGTTTAGCCATTGCGGTTTCCTGGAGTCCTGAGGTCAGCAATGTCAGAGTCTGCCCAAGGTCGTCACCACCACACAGGCAGTCGTCGCTTTTGTGGACCAGAGGGAGATTTGCCACCATGCGAATTTGCTACTAGAATGGTGGTGGATACTGGTATTGGTTTACTCTTAGCTAGGCTTCCTGATTGAAACACCTGGCTACTTCTCAACTTGAGAAACCCTGCCGGGGATGAATTCCTCCAGTGTAAACCGCATCCCGACACCCAGAAACACCTTCAAGCAACAAGGAGGGTAAACGGCGGCCTTATTCTATTTCTATATTCTATTATATATATATATAAATATAATTAGCAGGGCATTCATAAAAAGGCGACAGTCCTCAAGCAGCAGCTAAACCAAAACTTGAAAAACTCAAAAGCATCCGCACAGTAAATGTGAAGATGGTTTGTATAAGAAACTATATATATATATACATATATATATGTATATATATATATATATATATATATTACTCGGTGTCTTCTTGATAAGCAAACACGAGGTTGTTATTATAGTGCTTGCTCACAAGAACTGAATTGACGTTTCCCTGCATTTTGATTCAATCAGAGCCTGGAAAAGTCAAGTTAACTCCACTCTTATCTTCTTCAGGGCCTGGAAGGGTACATTAATACTCAGTTTACTAGGTCAAATGCTTTAACAACGCAAACAGAAAGATGAAAATCTGAACGTTAATTACAAGCTTAACTTATCATTTACTACCTACTCGTTTTAACGGCAGGATATATATTGCGAAATATAACTTTAATGATGTTGAGATATTTGCAAAACTCCGAGCCGCAGGTGTCTATGGTGGGGAACGAACGCGCTATTGTCCTTTTCGGTGAGTAACGCGTTTTCCACCACACCGAAACTGTTTTGTTTGCTTGTTTCTCAGCTAGTTTTATAGATCTTTTCCATCAGCAAAAGGATCCGAAAGGCGAAACGAAGGACCCGTATGGTGTGGTGGTTAACGCGTTACTACCCGGAAAGGACAATAGCGAGTTCGTTCCCCACCGCAGACACCAGTGGTCCGAAGTTTTGCAAATAACTCAGTATTATATAAACTGTCTACGAAATGGAGCAATTCTTATCAAAGGTAAGGGAAATCGTCACTCATAAAAAATCGAATCGCTTGACGCCTAGTAGATTGTATATCAGTATACCTTTCCAGGCCCTGAAGAAGGCGATTCTGACGAATCGTTAGCTACGGTTGTGTTTTATGTGTTATTGTATAGAAGGAAACGTGTGCTGTTCAACAACCTCGAGACTGCTGTGAAAGAAAACAACGAATTTATAATCCAATGTCGAGGTTTATAGGAAGTCGATCCTGGGAACTACTTCAGTATGTCATTAAAATACCTCTATTGCCCCAAGGCAAAGCCACAAAAAGTAGATTTAAATCGCGTTGAAAACAAAATAGTTTCTTCACACACTCAGTGCTTTCTGATAGTTTATCATAAAGTATTCAATTGGTGATGAAAAACGAGTCTACAGTGACATAATTATCCCTGACTTAGTCGCGACGATTTGCGTTGAACGCAGTGTATGTGCGCACGAAAAGAGTCCTGCCTCTCGACTTTGAACTAGGATATATCAGATAAAAACAAACTGCGCAAGCTTAAATAAAAACGACTACAATGTATACAAAAACCAGCGAGAATAGGATTGTTTTCAGTTTAGGGCAAAATTGTGATCAGTGTCGGCTTTCAACTTTATCTTGCTTGATTCTATCAACGTATTTCTATCGATTCGCCTGTTCCGTACGTATCACGACCAAAAGTTGAGTTGAAAAATCTCCGACTACTTTCGAAGTTTCCGAAGCGCCTGGATGGCCTTTTTTTGTGGTCATTAGCACATAACGGATAATCTGCATTGTATACAATCAATGACACACAGCCTTCTATCGGACTATCACGTTCTCGACTTCTCAATTTCTCTCTTTTTCCTAAAATTAATGACGGATATCAGAGCGTTAGCAGTGGTTAAGGGTATTGTAGAGCTATGCGCAAATTTATCACTAAGTTTTTTTTTGCCTAGTCTTACGTTGTTTATTGCTCTTTCTTCCACTGTTACATCATAGCCCCTACGAACTCCTACGAATGGTGATGATATTCAAAAGGAGAAGTGCTTCATCGGTGCCATCAATTTTTTCCCACCTTAAGGATTTACTTCTAGGTCACATTTCAGGTTCAATCCTTATGACCGTGCTCCTTTTCGAATATTGCGAGGAGGCAACGATTCAGCTTTCTACGCTCGCAAAGCACTGAAGTTCTATCGTGCCTACACTGCCTTCTCACGCATCTGCCATCTTCCTGAGAATTCCACGACGATCTCCCTCAGGCCAGGGACCGTTATCTTCATTGATAACTTCAGGATACTGCATTCCAGGACTGCTTTTACGGTATGATTGAGATTTAAGGTTAACTGCAATCAAAAATCTGCATTGGAAACTGTAGTTACTCTCTGTTTACTACCTGCTTTAGAAGTTTACTAAGATTTTCCTGTTTGAAATTATAATAATGAACATTGCTTAGAGTAGCCATTGAAAACACGGAAGCAATGTGAATCAAATGCTGGCCTTTGAGAGAATGTGCATATTAAAGCGACTTATTGAAACTTCTGTCTTCCGATATTGTCTTTTGAATATCTGCACTTTAACCTGTTTTCAAGCGACTCCTACTAGATGGGTTTTTAAAATGAAGATGATTAGAGTATGCACTTCTTTCACAATATGCTACGAACTTGTTTGCTCTACGAGGGCAAAATTCTCCATTTCTAAAGTCCTTAATCCGATACATTTTCATTAACAACTTTGTTGTTGGTGTATGTCCAAGCAGTGCTCAAAAAACGGCATTCGATAACAAGGGATTCGATGAACGCGCTGAAAGTGGCATAATTTTACAACAGTTTCCTCTCCACCTTTGCTGCGCTGTAATTGGATGGGGTGGTCGTAGTAAATTTGGAAGGGAAGTGCTCCCTTTCTTCGATTTTTGATCACTACCGGTATAAAAGCTGGAATTACTGGTTCATTTTTTCGATTTCCTGACTACATTTATTCACCGTTGTGGTTTTACGAGAATTCAAAAGGTTTTAGTCGACGATTCCAAATGCTGAATTCGAGAGGACATCAGGCCTTGTTTGATACAAATTTCGCTTCAAAATGTGTTCCGGGGTTATCCTTCTCTGTCTTATGTTATGCAGAACTTCGTTGATTATTACGCAGATTTGGTCGCTTGGCCCCGTGAGATCAAAGCGCGGTTTGTTTTTGCTGCTTAGAAGAAGCACTGGACGCGCTTCATAATAACGGTCGCTCTTCTTCATGTTTAATTTATAATGCTACTAATTGTCAAGTCTTTTTTGCCTTAGTTGATATGTCCGAGAACTGTCCTTTTTAATTACGCATAGATCTTCTGCAATCTAGGAGAAGTTGTGTGTGGATCTGCTTCAACTAACGTCTTAAAATAGTTGTCGACAACGGGTTCTCCCTAACCTGCGTCATTTTCGAGGTTCATCTTCTCACTAAGGACTCCTTTGTACATCTCAGGAGTGGGTTTAGACGCTTTGCTCTCAGGTTAATAATTCGCGTCAAAATTATTCAAATATTCTTTTTTTGCATTGTTGTGCAGTGACCTAAATTAAATAAAAATTAAAGTAAACACAAGAAGATCTACGTAAAAGTGTTGGGCGAAATATGCACCCTTAAATGGTATGTAAAATCAATGTAGTAGCTTAAATTTTCTTTTGGGAACTCAAGGAGTTGAAGTTCTGGAGAAGCAGGGCAACCTAAACACTGTTTTCACCAAGGCCTACTATTTATCATTAATCAGGGTAATCCAAGTGGTATTTCTGGCTCGTAAGTCGGTTTGACATGGTCGTAGAAATCACGTTATTTCTCTTTTAGCTTGAAATCTTTCACCATGGCTCACGGTAATAGTAATATTTTGAAATATACGAGGACTCTCTGAAAAATGACCTTCATTAAACCTCAGCATGAATAGTCAATATTTTTACTCTACTCGTCAGCTTTTAGGAGGTTGTTTCCGACTGTTCCAACACCACAGGTAATGACTTTTTGTAAACTGACGCATACAAAAAATATATGATTATTGAGATTTGCCAGGGCGTTCCAGGTGTTGTAGGATCTCGGAATTCTATTCATAGTTGCCTACGTTTCCGTACAGAACAAATCGTCCAAGATATTCTAAGCTTTCCTTAACCTCTTGATTGACCAGCGCATAATGTCCTTTCTTGGTTAATAGCTCAAGGAGCTCAAGAATGTAACTTTATCGAATGAATGGTGTTTGGGGTTCCTATTACGAAGTTTCTTCGATCACACCGTTATCGACACGATCATCTGTTTTCGCACTTCCCTCCACTTTGACATGATTTCAGCAAGAGTTTCGCGAAACGTTTTATAACTTTTTAGGGATGGCGACAAATGTGTGGATGCTACCTGTCGCGTGATAATTTTATGGCAAAAGCTCGTCCCCTACTTCCAGCAGAAATCGGACGATTCATGTGAGGGAAGGCAGTGAGTAGCAGGGTTTCTTCTAGCTGGTACTCGTATAATCGTTCATAACACAATCTTGTTTTCGATCATCTAGGCCGTCACGTATTGCTAACAAAGGCTGTAAGTTCTAAAGATCTATGCGTCAACTCAGCAATGGAAGCAACGCATATCATGACTTCGATAGTGATTTCCTTTTTAGCATGTTGTACATTCTGGAACGATCCATTGTATGAACAACAACGAAAGTATTTTGTTTATTCACGTTTATGGATAAAGATTTTAAAGAATCACAGTGGAAGCATCGGAGTAACACAATGTACAATATGCCGAAAAAGGCCACAAGAAAATTCTCCCTAGGAACTCGCAGCTAACAAGTGATGCCTAGAAAGGAGTGGCTGCGTACACCTTCTTCTTCAAAGGCCACATGAATTCTTTCTGAGTCTCTTATTTGATGACAGAACCAAACATACCGTCAAAGTAATACAACTATTAACAAATAAATGATATGTCGTGCTATTGTTAGAAATTTAAAATAAAAATCCAAGTAGACACAGCTGAGACAAGGCAACGTGTGAGCAATTATTCTAGTGGCTTCTCAAAGATACCCGTCCGATAGTATACCTGACACAAGTGGTTTGATATAGTAAAAAAGAAAAAGCGCACTAAAGGAAAGATCTCATATATTCAGAAATGAAACAATGCTGTGGAAAGAGAATCACAGTTTCGATGTGCAATTTCTGGCTCGTTGAGTTCAGCGAGCCAATTCGCAGGGCCAAGAAAAGCTCAAAAAGTGGTCACTAACAAGGAAGATCCCGGCCGTTCTATCGAACCGAGTTCTGGCTCTTAAGCCATCGATCCTTATCGCGGAGGGATTGACTCTGGGAGGATGGCCGCGACCCATCCTCCCCTTCCGTATCGTCCTTGTCATAAATTCGATACTCCGGATTCGTCATATACCAGTGCAACATCAAATCATAGAGATATTTGTATTCATCCTTAAAAATAGGAATCTGCATGAACTCACAGCAACACACGCCAGTTCTACTTTCTAAATTCAGTTATTTTCTTAGGATTCAGTCAGTATGGAATCTTTCTACAGGCGTTCAATAGAAAAACCTTATAACTAAAATTATTTGGTCAGCTCTTGGGATTAATCTATATCCTACCTACACCCTAACTTAATGCTCGCATCTTTTTAACCATGAACTATCGTACCCTACCGTTAGAAGCTGTTAGCGAGAGTATTGTGAATTTTTGGGAAGTGTAGCATCAACCACAAATATTGTATTGTAAACGCTGTAGTGGTGAAGAACTTGAACCAGACCTTCATGTCGATGAGTTGTGGTCGATTAATTCGCATCATTTTCACAGCATGAAAGACATCCACTTCGTGGTCTATGTCCATCTGATCTATGCAAATGTTCGCTCCAATATACACTCCGACTCGGGAGACGCCGTTACTGTAATCAAATTGTTTTTAGGAAGTAACAAACCTCGGTAGCGCTATTCGCCTCTGTGATTCCAATAGAAAAAGCACAAGTATAAGGTAGCAAGGCCTAGAAGGCTGTAAATGCTAAAGAAAGCGTGTTGTCAGAAACATTTTCTTCTTTTTTAAACACTACTATTTCTTCATCCTTCGACTTGTAGTGCAAGACGATTAGGTGTGCATCTGCTTGTTAGTAGGTATTAGTAGTGATAGGATAAAGTGAACCGTAGTTTTTTCTTTCCTTAGCGTCAAGCTGGAAAAGGTCAACCGCGACGGCAAAAATTTCCAAGCACCGACAATGCACCTTTCACGAACAGGAAGTCATGCTTTTCGAGAAGTCAAGGTGAAATAGAAATCTGGGAACATCGAGAACGGCTGATAGATATTCTTTTGGATTTTCCTATGTTAATATATTTACATCCACTTATAAGCACATCTGTATAGTATTTGTTAACCTTTCTCAACGCAAAACATGTTAGCCTTGGTCTCAATGGAACAATGTTGCTGTAGCACTTAAATATGTGTGTGGAAAAACCAGTCTGTGCACTTACTGAGACATTACGATTGTTGGCTTAGACTCCGGACGATCGGGTGCTCTTCGTCTCCAACTGCGAGCCATTTTTATGACGTCCATAAGACCAGTCGTCGATAACGGCACTTTGTTCTCCATCGGCCAAATCCTCACCTTAATTATTTCTCTTCTTGAGTCTCCTTCCTCAGTTGAAAGTCAAATGAACGAAAACATTAGTGAAGAGTGTTTTAACTTTTGATCTACTGCCTATTCTTTTTCTCATGGCAGGGTGTGATGTGAAATACAACCTCAACGATGCGGAGATATGAGCAAAACTCGGAAACTTAGTTGGACTTCGAACCCGTGACTACGTTTATCGGGGGCTCATTTGTTATCTGAGGCCTTTGATTCTCCTTCACTCGACCATGTTTTTACCCTATCAGTGGTATCTTGCCGATTTGTGCTTACCAGATCAATCCCTTTGACGGGTGATTGATATTAGCACCGATAGAGTAAAAACATTGGTGAAAGGCAAAGCAAGGGTCTCGGTTGTTGTGGTCAGTAGCACGGGAACCCTCGGTAAGGGTAATCGAGGGTTCGAATCCCAGCTGAGGTATGAATTATTTACACAATTGACCCACCAAATTGACCGAGGCCCTAGCTTAGTGGTTGAGACTAAGGCAAAGTAAGATACTCGGGTGGTGTGGTGTATAGCACGAAAACCTCAGGAAAATTTAAGCGTGGGTTCAAAGCCCAATCGACGTTCCGAGTTTTGCTTTTATCTCGGTATCACTGGTTGTATGAGTGAACACTACAGATGTAACGCCATCAAACCAATTGAGCTGGGAAACAGTGATGCTAGTGTAAATTATAAATACATTGATTATTCATGACAAGGTTAAATGAAAGTCAGCTTACGAATACTACTATGACATTATGAGGTGAAGTGTGGTCAACTAAATTTTTGGTTACGAAACGAGTCCACATTTCTCAGAGGTTGCTTGAAGTTGACTTAAAACAGTGGTGTGAACTTGTTTCACTCAGTAAAATACTTTTGTGAATAGTAAGAAGATTCTTAGCGCGAAATTCGAAACCCCTAACAACAGGTTATTGGAATAATAAGGAAATTTTACAATTAATGAATGCCTCCTCGCAAAATGTTCTGTTCTCCGCAACCAATGGAAACGTCCGTTTTCTCGTGAAAGTTCGAGGATGTTAGGTAAGCTGGGTAATGATTCGATTTCAAACGAAAACTCTTTTAATTATAAAGTCTTCATGGAAGGATTTAAAAAGAATGCTGAAAGCCAGACTACTAAAAAAATGTGCAGAGTTTTTAAATAAAAAAGGATGGAGGCATACCTGTATAACACAACAAATTCGCACTTCAGTTTCGATTTGTTGGCTGTTCGCGGCGTTTGACATGATGTCCGAAATCATGAACGTCTGAAAAGACCGTCGTAGAATCGGCCACCCATCATGATCGACTGATTACGTGTTTGGGATAAACGATTAGCATTTAATTTCATGGGTGATCACAAAGGGACGACTTTCGTGCGATTAGTGGAAAAGGCGTGAGCGAATCGCTGGCAGACCAAAAGACAGAAACGACACGTAGATGACTTTGGGACACACCAGCCTCTGAACTTGCTTCGTGGTTTCCTTTTGAAGATCGGCCTTCTCGCGTCGAATATTCAAAAGTCGCTTAATGTCAGCGGCACCCTTCTGAACGACACAAAAATCGGACACAATGACAAGCTCACAACGGACACTTTTAAGCAAGGACGGGCAGAGAAAAGGATGCGCGACCCTTAGACTTGGTTTGCCCACTCTATCATAGGCCTCAGTGATTTACTATCTCTAGTGCAAACGTATCGAACAAGGATTGCAAGTTTCGGGAAGATAATGCAATGTATAGGGCGGTGGGACATCACTAAATAGTGCGATCACCGTAGTGTCCCTCTCTGTACGAGTTGCGGTCATAAAGGATGTCCGCAGAACGCCACTTGTGTAGAAGAAGTCGGTTGGGAGAAATGGCTATCCTCCCACAGATTCCGTTGATGGCCATTGCTTTGCAGCCTTTACCGCTAGGAGTCATTGGCCAGAAGTGCTTTCTAATTAGCACTAGCACTAAGTAAAAGCAACGACGAGCTTTGCTATGCATTTAGCATAGCAGAGCATCGCGGTAGGAAACTAAGAATAGCGCTCAACTCCACTACAAGAACATTGCGCAAACTAAGTAATAAAGCACATTAAAACTTAGAATCTACTTAAATCTACTTAACATGTGAAATATACATGCCATTTTAAGGGTGGACTGGGGTTTTCGGAATTGAAGGTCACAGTATTCAACAATCTTTCTGCATTGAGTGATGGATACTTCAAAAATCATTATAGAATTTGCAAGCGGCATAGAAATCTAGTGCTTCAACTCCTCCATTCCAGTACCATTAAATGCCTCTACAAACGTCTAACAATAAGGAAAAGTGTAAATCAGAATTACAAACCCTTTTCATCACTTTCACCATGTGCGAAGTCATCGCCTGATATTGGTGATAGTTAATCACTTCGACGATGAACGGACCATAACTTGCCTTGCCCTTATTGTGAATAAATGTAGGATAGTGCTGAAAAAGGAAATCAGTTCGCAAACTGGCAGAAAGCGAGTAGGGAAATCCGCAGAATTGGATCCAACACAAAAAACTTCTTCAAGCATTATTTTCGACAAAAGACTTGTAACTGAAGTACGTGTCTAGCTTTCACAGAAAGTGGTTCATCGAAAATATTTTCCAAAAGTCCAGCAATGAAAAAGCACCGGGTTCCATAAGTTTATTGGAAATCTGATTACCCTAGGATTTCCCTGGTTACTGAGATTGACGACAGTGTGACAGGAATGGTCATAGATTAGAGTCCAAAATGAGTCGATCGTACTGTGTTTTGGCCATTCCGTTACTATGAACTCTGCTTTTCTCGTAAACCCGTCCACCTATGAAAAACCTTATGAAACTTTGATAATGTTCTCAATAAAAAATCAGTAAGAACTAAACGAAGATCAGCTTACTAATAACAAATAGTAGTAACACATAATTTAAAATCCACCTCAACAGCGTTTATATAGGTGTAATCCTTGCTTTCACCATGTAATGTCTGGAGATATGGACGGGCATGATCAGCTGGAATGGATCATCAGTAACAAATCCAAAGACCAACAATCAATTCGCAGTATTGCTTAGGTGATTCGGTAAACACTTCATACTTCTCCTATGACCTTTCCTTGACGTTCGTCCACATGTTAGACGTTTTAAAAAACTACTTTTCATGGCATAGAGTGGGTATGTTAATGTGACCATATTCAGTGAATATAACCTTTATAACTTTATAACCCCAAAACAAGACTCAAAGCTTTAATCCTTAAATTTATTTTCTCGATTTTTTACACTTATGGTTGCACGATCTATAACGGCACCCTTCTCTCTGCTGCCCATTTCTTCAGTGAGTGAAGATACTCAAATCATTTTAAAACGGGAAGGTAAACGACGTTCAATCATCTATTTAGGCTCGTTAATGAGGCATTTTTTCGGTCCTTTAAGATTTTTAGGTCTTTAGAATTGATCCAGAGCCCTTCAACAGTGCTAGGGACAATTTTTTGACTAAAATGCTATGAGCGTGACTCTAATTTCTTAAATTTCATACTTACTTTGAATTGGTGTTGCGGCTAATGCAGTGTTAGCGGCCTCTATCGATTGGTGCAAGGATCATTTTGACCCTTCCAGGCCAAATAAGCCTCTCTTCACCCCTTGATTTCTCTAGGGCCGGAAAATTGGTGCCAGACTTGTCTGGGAAGCTGCCTCGCATTTGCATGACCTAGGAAATCCCTAACACGGACATACCAAGTTCCAAGACCGATAGACTAGCCCACCATTAAATGACATTCAAAAACGAAAACCCATGAGCATCAGCCGGACGCAGAAGCAAAGCCAAATAAATTCGTGGGACAAGCATGCGAGGAAATAAATCGAATGAAAGAAGTGCTGGGATCTGCACATCATGTGATTTTAGGTCATTTAGAAGTAAAAAGAGGCAAAAATATGCTCTTTTATCCTACACGATCTCTAGTGTAGTACTTCGTTAAATTTGAGCCTTTCCGTCTAGGAAACTTTTTATTCAGACACGAAGTGCTCTGACAGTTTTTGAATGTAGTTATCAACAAAAGTTTTGCAACAGATTGGCTACGTCGTAGTTGAACGAATGTAACCTTCAATTGCACAAAAAAGCCCAAGAAAATGATCGTCGATTGCGAGCAATAAAGCATTTTATTGAAACCACTGGTACTTGTACGATCCATATCAATTCCAAATTGATGCCTTAACTTCCCAGTGATGTAGTAAAAGTGTTCCCCGAGTAGGATTTCGTAGTAATGTGGCCACTCAAGGCTGTGTAGAAGGCTAGGAGTGCAGTAGCGTTAGGGATATTTTGCTTTTTACTGCTAGATATTACTCCTTTTTACATAAACTTCGAGTGAATTTCAATTTTTCTCTCATTTTTCTTTGTCATCGAGTCTTTAGCCCCTGACGAAAATAAAGAAAGACGTCGAAAAAAAACCAGTCGTTTTTGAAAAAAGACTCAATAGACAGAAAAGTCATCTAATACTCACGAATAGCACAGGAGATAACAAAAAGTAAGAAAAAAACGACAAAAAGAACATGGCGATGAAATGATGAAAACGTACGCGGTACTACCATGACATCCCTATTTTTTCCTCGGTTCTCCAACCGATGACCTCCGGCACAATCACCGATGCGAAGCGGTTGTGTGAGGTGCAGCAACAACTGAAAAGGGGACGGAATATTAGCGACCACAGTGAGTTCAGTTTTTGGTTTAAAATTAGTATAAAATGTCATTTGAATTTGGCAGCGTATATCACAATGGTTAGAAATGTCCTGCTACATTAATGTGATTGTAAGTTCAATTTCGCCCTTGGGATCACGAATTCTACCATCTTTCCGGGGTTCGGAAAAGATACCAGACTTGTTTGGGACATTAGCAGGCCTGACTCAAAACATTGGCATGTTACCGCAAGTGATTGCATAGGCTAGACATGCCTTCAGTCTACTCTGTGATTCTTGATGGATTTGAATGCATCGTGATTCCCTCAGCGACTGATGACTGCTGAATGGATTTTGCAAGCTTTTAAAATTGTATTTGGTCCTTAGAATTGTGCTATAAGATGTGGAAAAAAACTACTAGTAGTAATAGCATTGTCTTATGCATGTCAGAAAAAGCGTATATTTGAACGGATTTCAATATGTGTGGAAATTTTCCTAACAAAGTTTATGCGTGCTTTTTTATTCAAATGTTTAACCATAAAAAGCTAAAAGCTCTCGTCGTTGATTAATTCTTGAGGGATGCGCCATGCATTCGAGTTCATTAAGCATCGTTTGGAGATGATTGAATGCATGTCTGGTCTTTTTACAATGACTCGCGGTGGCCTACCGATGTATCGAGTCAGTGCTGCTATACTCCCTTATAAGCCTGGTACCAATTTCCCGAACGCGGTAGGATGGAAGGCTTGGTGGGCCATGGACGCGAAGATCGATTCCATGTGTGTGTTGCAGGGCGCCACCGACCATTGCGTTACACGCGTCCCCTTTTCTAGCTATAATAACATAAAATGCTATGTGTGTCTGCTAATAATGTATTTTACCGAATACCACAAAAATCACCTTTACGCATCTCTTGGTGAGTAGTGATGAGTCATCATTCAACTCTGACCTTTCTTAGAATACTATACTTGGGCACTTGGATACTCGGATGGTCCGTCTTAACGAGTTGTGCAGCCACCGACATATTTACCATTCGTTTCTTTCCCTCGCTCTCATCATCCATGGTGAGGCTTTTACTCGAGCATGGTGACGTGTACGAGTCTCATATCGTGATCTGTGAAATAACTGCAGCTGCGGGTACAGCTGATTAAGTTTGTTTACGAACACGTCCGTCCAACGTGTAGGTGGTCATCCAAGAGGACCTTTGTATTCTCTTGGAGTCCACTGTACTGTTCTTTCCGTCCATCTGTCGTCTGTTCTTCTCATTATGTGACCGGCCCATCTATGTTTCGCTGTCGATATATATTCTCCTGGATCTCGATGATGTGACAGAGTTCGAAGGTCAGAGCTTCGCATCCCGGCTACATATTGAGAGTGCTGGTTATATTTCAGAAGGCCTCACTCAAGCGCCCTGTTAGTACTTCGAAGCATTCTTGACGTACTTGAAGTATCAACCCACGTCTCTGCAGCATAACAGAGCGCTAAGAGGACCGTAGAATCAAAGAGATGAGCGCGGATTTTCGGGTCCTTCAGTTGGTCGGTGGCTTCTTTGAGAGGCCCGAATGCGGCCTAAGCTGCTCTCCTTCTTCTATCTAGTTCCTCGTTCATGTTGTTTTCCATGTTCATTGATCGCCCAAGGTAAACGTACGAGGTGGTCTCTGCAATGAGGGAGCCATCCAATTCAATTTTTTCGCCTTCGCACCACGGGTTTTTCATTAATTGGGTCTTTTTTCGATTTATGCGAAGTCCAATCTTCTTCTCGCTTCGTTGAGCTCGTTGATGATCATCTCTGATTCGCTAGTACTTATTGAGAAGATGACAATGTCGTCTGGAAAATGAAGGTTTGATAAGAATTTTCCATCAATATGTATGGCTTTCTCATCCCAATCGAGTGACTTCATTATCCACTGCAGTGCAGCACTGAACAGCTTTGGCGATATTGTATAGCCCTGTCGAACCCCTTTTCCTATAGGTATGGTAAGAGGTCGATGGAAAAACTGTATTTTTGTAGTGCAGTTCCGATAAGAGTCGGACAGAGTTCTTATGTAGGACGGGTCCACTCCTTGGCCAACGAGCGCTGATAGGATTGCATTCGTTTCGACACTGTCAAACGCTTTCTCGTAGTCGACAAAGGTTAGGACAAGAGGCAAGTAATATTCCCGACAAACTTCGATGACCTTGGACAGGGTTTGGATGTGGTCCATGCAGCAAAATCCTTTAAGAAATCCTGTTTGCTCGACTGGTTGCGCCACATCCAATGTCCTCGATATGCGCGAGAGGATAATCTTCGTGGAAAGCTTGTAGAGTACACTTAACAAGCATGTGGGACGATAGTAGATACCTTCGGTCTCCTTTCTTGGGCAGGGTAACCGTGCCTCACGTCCTCCACTGGTCTTGGATTTTTTCCTTTTGAAGGTTGCCTGTCATATGATCTGCAAGGAGTACATTTGAATTGTGGCCTCCAGTTGTAAGGAAATCGGCAGTGATATTATCGGGTCCTGGAGCTGTGCCTCTTTTCATGCTTTCTATCGCAACTCGAACCTCCGGCGGAAGAATTCCAGATGGCTTTTCTCCAGCGGGGATATTAGGGCCCAGGGCGGGGATTGCGGAACGGAAAAGGTTGGTGTAGAAGGTTTCCGCTATTAATTCCATATCATGGCGGGATGTTTTGACGACCCCATTTTCGTTCATCAGGGTTGACAGCGGAACATTATAATCACACAAGTCCCGACGGCATATTTTCAGACTTTTTTTTTTCAGACTCAGACTGCTTCTTTTCTCTGCTGCTTCCAGTAGTTTCCTCTGCTTGTACCGATGTAAATCTTCTCGAAAAGCTCTTCTGCAGCTGAGATTTTTTACTAGCCATGTTATACATAACGCTCTGAAATAGGATCGAGCTTAAGTTTCTTTCTCTTTTTGAGTAACTCCTTAGTAGAAATGAAGATACGATCCAATTTTTTTGCTTGAGGAACTGAGGCGAATTCGGCACTGCTTTTCGGTCCTTCGACAAGTAGCTCGTAGTCTTCGTTTAGGTCTTCTTTAATCTGACAGTCATGTTTAGATAGGAGTTCGTTCAGAATGTTCTCGTTGTATACAGCTAAACTTTTCCTCGTGAACGATGAAGAGAATTCTTTTCCAAAATTCTTAAAAAAATAAACGTAAGTTATAGGTCTGAATCGAATCTACGCGTGAAGAAGGCGTGATAGGAACCAGGACAGAATGATTGGACTTCCGATGTGTCAAGTAGGCACCATCTTCTGTTTGTTAGAATGTGATCGATCTTCACATGAGTCATCCAGTTGGGAGACTCCCATGTCCAGCGGCGGCTTCCTTTCTTCTGGAAAAATGAGTTTCCATGGAAGAGACGTGCTGCAGATGGGAGTCCTGCGAGACGACTTCCATTCTCATTTCTTTCTCCTTATCCAAAACTTCAGATCCTGTATTCGCTCTCGTTGGCCTTTCCTATTCTGGCATTGAAGTCTCCAACAACAAATTTATGATTGCGGATAACTTTCTCCAGCTGACAGTAGAACGCATTTAATTCGTACTCATCAGTTACATCGGTCGTTGAGTAGCAGTTGATGATTATGATCTTCTCATGACGGCTACTGGCATCAGCTGAAGACGGAGGGCGGCTGTTAGAGGGAAGAGGATCTCATATGAGTCGACGAGATGGAAAATGAACGGGTGGACGACCAAGCCTACGCCTCCGACATTTCGTGACACGACCTTTTCTCCACGGGTCACAAGTGTCCCATTGTTTAGTTGGGGTATGTCAGTCTTCTTGATTTTTGTTTCTTGTAGTGAAATCACATGAAACTTAATGCGATCTGCGGCTAGAAAGGCGTGAAAATCGGCTTCTGTGGACACTGTTCTGGCATTATACGTGTATATTAAAAAACAATCCCCATGACGTGTCGTGCGGTATTCGTCAGATCCGGTTCCAATGACGTCCTTCGTAACCCAAGATTTTTTGGCATCTCACCGGTCGTCACACCGCCTGACGTTATAGACGGGACCATCCAGTGGGAGGTGCTGAGGCTGGCGTATTGCTGGTTGTGCAACTTGATCCCCCTAGAGTCCTTGCAAGGGCGTATCCAGGTCTTTACCAAAACACCGCTATGTGACTTAACTGAGACGAAGAAACTATATGAAGGCATATTTAATTTTATAACTATTTAGCCGGAAAAAATAAAGGATTTCTTCGCGACCATAAGAAGCTCCTGACTACAGAGAATCTTGACACCAACCTTATTCTCATGGTTGTCTTGGGATTCCATCAGTTCCCGATTCTTCTTGGCCTTATACATACTGCTTCGATCTTTCAGCTGATGCATTTGAATTGGTTGAATGTTACACATTACCGCCTAAATCAAATAACAGTACAGTGCACGAAGACCCCGTGGATCGATAACAGAACCTGCTAAACATCTTCTTTGTCCTTTCGGTTATTTCAGTTTTTTAATAATCAAATATGGTGAAAATATATCGCAACGACTATCTTTTAAAAAGGATGCCATTTAAGAGATAAATAGGATACGTTTGAGTTCCAGGTATGAGTTATACAGTAGTTAACGGTGACAGTAGAATAGCTTGATCAATCGTATAAATGACCAGGTTTGTGAAACACACCAGAGTTGGAGCTACGTCGACAAAACCGATTAATGAAGCAAACATTCTGATCAATCTAATTCATTCTTTGGGCCTATTAAGGTGTAAGGGGTAGATCAGAGTAGTAGTGATGTCCGTCATCACTAACATGATAGTAGTTCGATTCTGCTCCGAGCCAACCAAGCCCCTCTTGCCGCCGAGGTCGGGAAATTGGTACCGGACTTGTCTGGGGAAAAATCACTCTCTGCTATCCAACTGGAAACCCTCCAGCACGGCTATTTCTGGGCTCCAGGGAGTATTACTCGGCCAGCATTCAACGGCATTCAAGACGAAATGAAAATCCTCATGCAGCAACCGAACCCACACGTAAAAGTTGGAAGATCGTCGTGAACAACGGATGCGAGAAACGAATCGAATGTGAGAAGTGCTGGGGACCGCATAGTAGATGTGAAGATAGGTCACATAAATAAATAAAATTTTTTTAAATAAATGACAAAATGGAGGAGTAAATGATTGAAAAAGCGAAATGGACGGGTAACGGAGGAAATTACTGAAGGGGGATTACGAAGGAATATGTAGAAATGGATGCACAAAGATTTGAACTTATGAAATAGTACCGAAGAAAAGTGATGAGATCGAAAAGGTGAAAAAGAATGACAATTTTCCGATTCTATGGTGTTCCATGAAATATTGTGGAGTAACGCTACTCATTAGCGATTACGTAAAATAGAGTTATTCAAAAATAAAAAAACCAAAGAAAAGTAAGACGACTTTGAAAGTCTTCAAACAAGAACAGAAGCACATTGTCTATTTGATTTCTCGGCTTTATTCTCCTAAGGTTCAGGCAGTATTGGAACTCACCTCAGCTAGAACCTCGTAGATGAACTGGTACTGATCGACGGAATCAATGAGATGCGGTCGCGAATTGACGAGGGTCTTAGCGTACTCGTAGACGTCGAGCTGACCAGTCTTCTTCATCAACTCCAAATTGGCGTCCACAGCAAGAAACGCTCCACTTCGACCGGCTCCGTTGCTTAAAACAGTGCGTGAATCAAAAATGATATGAAAAGGTAAATTTTTCTTTATCCTGGTTCCCAAACCAGTCTTCTGTGGTAGCCGGATTTGGAAAAACCGAGTTTTCTGTGAAAGTTATATCAGTATGGTGGAGTTTGCTGCTCAGAAGCGATAAGTATGAGTGGAGGAGATGGCTAGCGCAGTGGTAGTGATTCAGCTCACCATAAACATGGTGCTGTCTTGACCGCACACTGGAATCACCAAGCCTCTCATCCCTCCAAGGTCGAGAAAGTGGTACCGGACTTAGGTCCAACTCAATCCTTCGGATATGCTAGGAAATGCTCCGGCACAGCTACCCTAGGACGAATAGACTGGACTAGTATTCGACGACATTCATAAAGATGACAATCCTCAAGCTGCACGCGAAACCAAGCTTGAAAAGTTCGAAGCCCTTGGTGGATGATAGGTGCTTAGAATCGAATGGAATGTGCTGGGATTCGTACAGTAGATGTGGTCATGTAAAATTGAAAGGAAAACGAGTGGTAGGTTACGCAAATTGCATCTAATCTAATTCGGTTACGAAGTTGTACTTCAGCAATCGTATTGAATAAAAATGTAACAGATTTTTTAAGAGTTCTCCATCTGATCACAACAAGCTCATACTTTTCCTATTCATTAGGTGTCATTGAAATTTTTCTCCACTATTGTGAGAAGAAATTCGTAGGCAGAAAAAGGTACGAAATATGCTGATAGAAAAGGTAGCGATGTTGTCATTAGAAGGCTGGCGTGACTAGAACTGTTTCCTCATCGAAGTAAATTTATGAAGTGCTATGAACACTTTTGCGCGAAATTTTCCGGTTTTTCACGACCTCGCGTTTCTCCTCAACTGGCAGCACCTTGGCAAAAGTCATGTCGAAATCGGAACTTTTTCGCCTTCAGAAAAAAACGGAAAACGGAGCAACGATCAGAAAATAACCAGAAAAGCCGATGCTGAGATATTCGCAAAACTTGAATCCCGGGCCAGATCGAACGAACCACGATTTCCGTTTCCTGGGGCCCGCGCATTACACACTGCGCCACGGAGGCTCAGAAAATAGTTGATGATTTGATTTTACGGTTCTTTACCTAAATGAATGAAATTCACGCTCATGCTGTTCTTATGATGGCGAAAAAATTCCTTTTAAACGTTTTAAACGAGAAATATTTTTAAAATATTACAAATTTAGTAAAAAAAATGGATGGATTAAGTCCCATTTCGGTCTGCTAACAATTATTCCAAAGATGGGGCCATACTGGTTCAGAGTCCATCACGAGCTAATTCGATTTTTTTAGTACTATCACGTTACATCTTCGATACCGTAGAACCCGTCGAAAAAAGAGGTTTTTCAAGGAAATTTTTAAAGGCTCTTCTCTCAACTGTCGGCATATTGGTATCAACTTTCTCAAGAAAGATAAAAACACTGACTTCATAAAACTGGTTTGAGGAAAGGCATTGCATAGGACATATATGTATTCATCCACCTTTACGATGTTTAATGAAGTGAATTTAGTGATTCCAAAGCGATTTGTCGATAATGAACGGGTTCTTATTCAGCAATTTCTCACATTTCCGTTTAAGCTCACAACACTCAATTTTCTTCACATGGTCGATGTCGCCAAGCGAGGCTCCAACCGAGTATGGTGCCGGCTGCTTTTCTCAAGAATCTAACGGCCGGTTGGTTTTCTTATTAACAGAGCGAAACTGCTGGTATTCTAGATGTGGTGCTCGACCACTGCAGTAATAAAATGTAGAACATCAACTGAACTTTGGAAACAACTGTTCCGGTGGCATGATTCTACTTTTCGCCTATGATTTCTATCTGACCGGTCGAGAACCCCATACTTCCAACAATAAGTTGCAATGCACCTCCAACTAGTTCGTCACTACTCTGCTGCTTATTTCGCGTTGCTGTTGTTCTCACATACCAAACAATCCATTAAGGCCATCACGTGCTATGATTTTCATAATAGTCTTGTTGACTGACAGATTAACTTAAACATTCATAGAAATAGTTCTGAATTGATTTTTCAATCCTTCTTTATAGACGTCGGAATTTCAGCATTCACAGTTTACTTCTAGTCGCTGAAAAATCAGTTGTTAAAAGTGAATTGCCAGAAAAGAAATCTATGTAGTGAATAAGAGTATTAGAAAATGATTCCAGGAAGAGAGATGGGTCAACTCAAGGGTGTTTCTGTAATGAATACGCCTTAATGATATCCTAATTCCAAATATTACCCCATCTCATGACAATGGCTGAGATTATGGTAGCCGTTTTTGTTCTCCTACTTGGACCAGTATTTAGCATGGCAACGGCAATCGAATGTGTGAAGAAACCTTTGAATAAAGGGAAAATGAGAGCATATGGGGCTACTCGGACCATTAGATAGCTCTACTTTCATCTTATAAATCTTGAGCAATTGTCTTCAACGTTGGTATCCTCTCTATGAAATTGTAATAATAAATGTGACGCGAATATAAATTGTAAAGTACAGGTAGCAAGGAACGATAGAGTGATAGTCGATGATGGAACGCAATGTTTAGAATTTTCGGATACGCGAACAACTCTTCAGACACTCTACTTACTCTCGTCGTTTTCTCTCTCAGCAATCGCGAAGTTGTTAAACAGCATACGTTTACTCCTACACAATAACACGCAAACAACACCACCGTAGCTGACGTTTCGGCAGCATCGCCTTCTTCAGAGCCGTTTTTTGCGTGCCTAATAGAAAGTCGATCCTGAAAACTCTACTTACTGCTTACTAGTTTTCATGCAAGGTAGGGGCACTGTCCATGCTTCTGTTGAGGAAATGAAACAGCAGAACGGCAAAAGGACAACGCAACATTCATCATCCCCTCATTTATGTTGTGGAAAAAACTCGAAGTCAAATCATCCAAAACGCGCATTTTCCTTCTTTCGATATTTTTTCACCCGTTGACTCGCTTTCAAGCAATTCAATGCAGCAATAAAAAGTCGAGCTTGATTGTAACAGCATAAAAGCAGCCGCTGAGCCATCAACAAGCAGTGGTGCGGCTCGAACACGCAGCACATGAAAAACGCAAGCTTAGTGACCGTATGAATTGTTATTACCAACTAATAGTTCCATTGCAGCAGCGTTCGATGCACATCGAGAATGTGTGGATCATTTAGACCACTTCTTAGACACATTTTATTTTTGAGCTCGAAAATCTGTCAAGCAGCATCATCGAAATCAATGGATTCTCAAACAAATAGAAGAATTCGTTCTATAGATACCAACTTGGATGATTCTCTCAAACCAATGTTTACATTTTTGTCTCTATACTCTACTAAAGACTTTGCATGTCCCCCTTTCAGACTCTGAGGTTCATAGAAAAATTTGTTATTGTGAACTAAATCTCTTAACCACCTTGGATTAGCTTGTCAAGGAGAATTTCTAGGAATACTACGACGTATCTCTGCTTTACCACCCGCAATCTCCTGGGCACCAATGTTGTCAGCACTTTAAAAATCGTTCTCATGAAAGCTCTCCATATGATATTATATATTAGCCGGAGTTTGTCATGCTTCACACATCAAAAAGGAAACTCATATTATTGGAGGAAAAAAATAAATTACCAACATCAGCAATCGCGCTTATTTAACCTCGACTTTTTTTTATGCTGTCTGTAGAATAAAAATTTCGCGCCTGCAAGAGTTCCTAGTCGATTCCGACGCAAATTTTTAACGTCGTGGGCGGATTTTTAGTCGAAATCAAGCAACAAGGGTTACAGAAAGTAGGTAATTACGATGTTGCGACCTCGCGAAGTTTTGGCTCAACACTGACTCGAGGTCATCCACTTCTCAACTCTTTGGAGCTTTGCAACTATTTGAAGGAAATAGCCACCTTTAAAGCGAGATCCAATTCCATAACTCTCATTAAACTTATCAACGGAGTAGAATTGTCTTAGTTAGTTCCTTTTGAACAACATTATTTATTTCAGAGTCTGTTCAGAATAGCCGCCTTTGCATTTCTCATCGTTTTCATTGACTCTCCTATACTTCACTGGAAATGCAATGCTGTTTATATTTTCTAAATGTTTGTATAGTCGCTGTTTCGTGGTATGCCGTAGCGCTATTGCAGAAACATGCGAACCAGCATATTCTTCTTATTCATTCTAAGCAATTTCTTAATGGGTGATGGAATACATTCAAAAAGTGGGTCCAATAACTATAGTTCCAATGTCTTAACTTTTATTTGCTGCTTATTCTTTTTCTTATGACAGGTAGGACACGAAATGCAGCTATAGGGTTGCTGAGACATGCGCGAAACTCGGAACCTCAGTTAGGCTTCGGACTTGTGATTACCCTTTCCGAGGGCTCATGTGCCTTTCACCAGGCCGTCCGTGACCCTTGGTTAATAGCTGAGAGAAAAGCAAGGCAAGGGTATCGAGTAGAGTGGTGGATACATTGAAACCTCTGGAAAGAGTGGTCGCAGGTTCGAATCCCAATTGAGCTTCCGAATTTTGCTCATATCTCAGCATCGTTATAGTTATAACCGTTACACCTTACTAAACCTACCTTCACTTAAATTTAGTGTCAATAATTAGTATGCATCCTTGGATTGTTCAGCTTACACGAAGATGGTATAAATTTTTATCCAGCTAATCACTCGAATTGTGGTGGCTTTGGAGAACATGAATGTGTCGGCACACTAGCCGAATAAGAAACTTGCATCAACCTCGTGTAAGATGAACAGCGTAGAAATGTATAACCCTTGCATTTTTATATTTTCGAGACCATGAACGAATTTCAGAGCGGCACATACAAAAACGAAAAGCGCCTTCGGCTTTCCAATTGGCGCGTATCCAACGTGAATACGAAGTAGATTACGACGCTGGCGAGCCCGAAACGAGCGAAGAAAAAAGTAATGGCGGTTGGCTTTTAACATTGTGAAGCTATAACGTCGGAATATCGCGCCGTACAACATCGCTCGTTAGAGACAGACACCTCTGGGCATGCAATTAAGTACATTACGGCTCCCACCTCCTGTGTTTGAAAAATTGGCAACGACAGAAACTTTCCTCTACATTTTTCAAATTTCGCTCTACATGACATGTCTTTCACATCTACTGTGCAGATCACAGCACGTCTTGAATGCCCCTCCTTTCCTCCGATCCATTATCCACGAAGCCTTTAAACCTCTACCCGGTGGGTTCTCCTGCATTTTGAGGATTTTTCCTTGCGAATGAAATAGGCGACCTCTAGAAACAGCCGAGTTGACACGCTAATGCGAAGTCGCACGAGCTACGGGCAACGAGCACTCACATCCGAACGTGCAAAGCAATGTCGACCAGACGGAACAGTTAGAGTTTCTAGAAAGGCAATGGATAAAATAATTTACGATTACTAGTCGTCCGTCCTCGGTAGCCATGACCTCCACCCCCATATGAAATAAAGGAAGATGGAAATATCTTCCAACCTGTTCTCCCGAGATTCGACATGCTACTTTGTCGGTGAATAATCGAACAACACCAGGTCCGGACAAGATAAGATCTCAACGTCTGAGGAACCTTTCTCCAGACTTAATCAACACACTGGTTCGGCTATTGACATGTTACTTATCAGAACGCAAGATTCCTATCAAATGGATGACCAGCAAGATCGTTTTATTGTTCAAAAACGGTGAGCTCGATGATATCGGCAACTACGGCCCAACCTGCTCTCTGTTTGCCGTCTACGAACTAATCACTCGAGTCATCTTAAACGGGATTAACAGAACATTAGACCAAGGTCAGCCATGTGAACAAGCAGGGTTCTGAAAAGATTCAGTACGATGAACCACATTAGAGCGAGTGGACTACTCTTGTATGCGACAGGCAAAAATGGAAGATTTACCGGTGTCCGCTCAAGTCACTCGATGATCAACGGGACAACAGGTGAAAGAGTTGATAACAATGGTATGTACATCTTAAGAAAAAAATAAAATGTAGCGAATGTCCTTGAATATGGTCGAATCGATTCTTCCTTGAATCCTGAGATAGCTAGGCTAGAGAGTCTCTAATTCGATTGAAAGGACCAAGTTTCTTCTAGAGGGCTCTGGTGGCAATTCCCCGTCTCCGACGGGATGAAGGGTCCGGCGATGGAGTCCAACCAGTACAGTGCTCATCAACATCCACTAATAGTACGCTACTAGCTCTTCCCTTCACATAGTACGTGATAGTATTGAACATCAGCCTTGGTCTCGCTACTAGTGATTATCGTTTTAGTGAACCAGTCACCATGAATCAAGCAATTTCGATGCGAAAAAAACTTCCCCTCCTTGCTTCTAAAGGCGTTTCGGTGTTAAAGGAGTGAATCAAAAGATCCCAAACCGGATATCCATGATAATTTATCCCCGCCTCTTAGGATTAAACGGAAGCAGAAGCAGTTGCGGTATTTTCGCAACATGTCAATGTTGACATTATAATTTACAGTTTCGGTCTTGCAGAGGATAAAGTGATAAATAACTGTCAGAACTGCCATCGGAAGTTTTCATAGCTTACCAACTCAACATGGTCCCAATTGAACAAATATCAACAGGAAGGATTCTGTCTATTTTGCTGTCCAAACTATAGAGAAATTTGAAGAGAAAGTACAACTTTTACGGAACAATAACTGCATGGAATTCACGAAACTGCCGCTGTGCTTTCTCCCTGCAACAGCAAAATAAAAATTTCTGAACCACTTCGGTTTGGGAGCACTCGAATAAATGATAACGTTTCCATAAGTCTATGAGTACAAATAGGACGTGTGCGGTGCAGTGGTCGGAGACGCGCTTCAACACATGCGTGGAACCGATCCCCTCGCTCATGGCCCACCAAGCCCTCCATCCCACGGGGTCGGCAAATTGGTACAAGACTTGTCTGGGATGGCACCGGCAGTGGCTCGATAAATCGGTAGGCCATCGCGAGTCATTGTAAAGGCAAGGTATGCATTCAATCACCTCCAACGATGCTTAATGAAGTCGAATGGATGGCTTATTCCTCAGCGATTGATCAACGCCGCGAGCTTTATCCTTTATCCTTTATGAGCACAAACAGGTGGCGGATAGCACAGTGTCCGTCTTCACAAGCATGGTGCTATTTGGATTCCGCTCCGGGCCAACCAAGGTTTAATCCTTCCGGGTCAGGAAATTGATACAGGACTTTTGTGAGAAAAAGTCACTCTCTGCAATACAATTGGGAACGCTCCAACACAGCTATCTCAGGACTCCAGGGAAAATTTCTCGACCAGCATTATATGACATTCCGAAATTCAGGATGAAATGAAAATCCTCAAGCAACAACCGAAGCCAAAAGTAAAAGTTGGAAGATCTTCGTGGGCAATGGATGTGAGGAAACGAATCGAATGTGAGAAGTGCTAGGATCCGCATAGTAGACATGAAGACTGGTCGTATAAAATAAAAAAGCGCTAAATAAAATGAATGCAAACCAGCAAAAAGGAAAAATGGAGGGAAACATGCTAAAAGTCGAAATCAACAGCGATCGAGTGGACATGGATATTTTTCGAAAGTTCACGGAATAAGTTTTGATAGACGAACAATGGCTTGCCTACGAAATTTTTGAGATAAACAAGTATTTCGAGAACGAGAAAGCCCTTAGCGGATTATTCGACGAAAAAGAAACGATTTTTTTCTGGTAGATAATTTCAATACCACTTTCGCCGAAAAAAAATTGTAAAAAAAGATACCACGAACGCAAAATGTTTCAGCGACTTTCCTTTCCCATTGGAGAATTTTCTTAGTTAGAAAACACCAATAAGCATTGAAGGAGGCCGTACGGAGTCTCTTTCTAGAACAAACTAGCAGTTTGATAAATGGCTGTTTCTGGATTGAATGATGAAGTTTTTCTAAATAGTCGATTTTTATATTGAATTATGAGTTCGGTGAAATTGAGTGGTGAGAATCGCCAGCATGGCATTGTATTTTTGAGTGTATGAATAGTTAATCTGTAGAGATCTGTCTTTCAGAGAATGGCTGGCTTGGTCGGGATGAGGTAGTGCGTGATATAAAGTGCTTGAATCGATGCAATCATCGTCTGGATATGGGGATGGACATGGTGAACGTGGGTTAGCGGCTTTTCGACTAAAAAAATCCACACTTCTTCTCATTTTTAACACTCTTGCGACGAGTGCCATGTATAGGCGTTGTAATGCTTTGGTGGGACCGACCGACAAGGGAGCTATAGGTCTCGTTTTCCTTTTGGTGGTTTGTTTTAACACAAAGCACTATTTTTTATGCTTTATAGTAGAACGCAGATGTTGTATTGGGTATACTTGAATACTTGGATGGTCAGACCTCAGACTGTTTGTGCGGACCCCGGCATAATTTCCATTTTTCGAAGTTTTGCTCGTTCAGCCACTCTGGTTTCCTGGAGTGCCGAGGTCAGCCAGGCCCAATTCTGCCACAGGTCCTCACCACCTCAGACAGTCACAGCCCTTGTGAATCAGAGGAAGATTTGTCACCATGCGGCTTTGATACCAGGACGGTGGTGGATCCTGGTATTAGTTTACTTTTAGCTGGGCTTTCCGATGGAAATACCGGGCTCCTTCTCAGCTTGCGAAAGCTTGTCGGAGGAAGAATTCCACAGCTTTACATTGCAACCCGACACCGAGGAACACCTCCAAGCCACGATAAAGCGGTAAACCGTTGGGAGGTGTATTGGGTATTGGTCGGGAAAAGTTCTACTCTTTTTCCCTCTTTTGAACGAGTTAACTGGTCAGAAATTTAGCTGTTAGTCGACTAAGATTTCAATTCTAATTGTTGTAGTGAATAATAGTTATTATATAGAGTGTGAGAGTACAAGACATGCTGAAAAAAACTTATAAGGTGTAAAACACTTCCAAATGCTAAAAGTAACGTGCTTATATGTTGAGCCATAGTAACCTACGCTAAATAGCATCAAATAACACTTATACCCTCAGCACGATATAGCATTTTCTACAATTCGTTAATGTTCACAGCTCATTAAGCCCTCTAATTATTGAAAACTTATTGGTTATTGTCAGAAAAGCAGTAAATCCATAAATGCTGAAAATCAGGCTCCGCCCAGTCCACAATAAACCGGGGATTAGACATCGCCGTGAAAGGATTGAAATTAAACAGAAAACTTTGATGCATAACATAAGACAAGCTGGCTTCCACTCTTATTTGGGCAGGAAATAGAGTGGATGAGACGAATTGATTTTGATTCATTAATTGCCGAAAATAACCGTCGCCTCTCCCAAGCATTAAATCAAAATCTTTCGACCACAGTGAAATTTGTTATAGAACTCGTTGGATCGTTCTGAATTTTGCTACGAAGACACGAGAATTCTGGACTCTTAATTATGAAATCCTGATATTCTAGAGTTCATAGACCTTCTTTCCCCTCTTTTCCTGGTTCATGTTTCAACGAAATAATGACGAGGGCAGTAGTGTTTCGCCTATGTTTCGTCCAACAAGATATGAAGGTCTCCCTCAACGTACTGTTAATGTTACGGCCACCACGCTTCCGCAAGAAAAGTTAGAAATTTGACATTCGTTTGGAATTCTTTTAGGAAATGCAATAAGAGTTCAAATAACATTTCTAAAAAAGTACTACCTCCCATAGAGCAGCAAAGCAATGTTTACCCATGACTCTGTCAAATTTGTTCTTCTATTCTTCAAGTACTTTAGTTGTAGAAAAACTCTCGGAGCCTTACCAAAAATAGGCGTCAGCGCCTAAGGCCTTGGAGTTACTTGAAATATGAAGTTCATAACGATGATTACTCTATTTAAACTAACTACAACAGTGATATTTAACTCGTAATTTCGACCAAGCAATGTGGAATTGGCTTCAAGCGGTTATTCCGCCATTTGACCGTTCGCAGACGACTCTGATAAAAACTCTGTGACCTGGGCTTGGCGCACGTAACCGCTGCGGATCAGATTAACACCAATTACTTAGTGCTTTCTATATTCTCTCGCCCTATAAACTAAATTTGGAGAAACGTTGTTTGAGGGGTTCATAGAAAAATGGATAGAGAAAAGACAGAATAACATCGAAGCTCCTAGCAAAATTTGTTGTTTCCTAATGCTTTTCCACTTAAATAGTAAGTTTTATAAATAAAGGTCTCTACAAGAAAAGTTAAGAGCAAAACTCTGCTTTAGATGCACAAGTCGTTTGGGAGCATCGGCGTCCCGTCAGTCATGGAACGGAACGACTTGAAGCGATTCTGCCTCCTCGATCAGGAGCACACCCAATGCGTCGAGGAGTGCGGTTACATTGTGCGGTTCAATCTCAGGGAGTACGTTTGCAAAAGACGATTCGAAGAGGTTAGTAAAGGCCGTGGTTAAGACTAAGTCTAAAGGAACATGTTCTCAACGTAAGTACACAGAGAGGAGGGCATTCAATAAACGATCTCCACTCGTATAATAGGGAAAAATTCCCATCCTTAATGTTTTCGGAACTGCATTATTTATTGCGCCATACTCAACCTTCCCATTACAAAACTAGTACTCTAACCGCTTTGCATGGTTTTGATTACCACGTGGCCAATTTCCTCGTTATGAACATTCCACATGGCTCAAAAAAACAACATCTGTCATCAAAGTGCAAAATAATGCTGGCTTTAAACAATGGAACATTAGAAAACCCATATTAGTTGTACCACCCTTGCGAATTTCGATGTGGGAAAGTCGTAGATGGAGTAATAATGGGCAGAAAAAAAGTTCTTGGGGCCAAATCGAGGGAGAAAAAGATAATATGTAAAGAAAATAAGCCAAGGTGGACTTAAGATATGTGCTTTCAAAAATTTACTGTGTTTTTCACATTTTCCAGAACGAGATGAAGAAACACTTCTGGAAAAATCAACGCTGACTGTATGCTATTCATTTATTTTGCAGGCAAGAGTATGTTTTAGATGTCGAATCACTTGGCTTGCTATGCACGAGCTGCCCCCGTTCTCTCCAGATATTGTCGTGCCAGATGTGGAGATCACAGTCCTCTACTATACAACTTTCTAGGATACGCACAAAGGTTGTGAGTCTAATCCGCTTTTTTCTTGGTGAGCACACATGAGATTGTTATTACACTATTTATTAACAGTAGGCGAAGTTTCTGCAGAATTCGCCTTCTGCAGACACTGGAAAGGTCAAATTGACTGCAATTTAGTCAGCCAGACGCTTCAATAACCTCAGCAGAAAAACAATGAAACTTATACTTCAATAGCACTGGAAACAAAGCGAGCGCTTTTTCCTACTTCTCCAGCCAGTAAATTGAAAAAAATGAAAAGATAACGTAAATAGACAAAGGAGTCGAAGAGTTAGCCGAACAGAGTCCTTTAAGAACTTCGTGTTAGCTCAATCACCTTAGCTATTCCGAAGGTAAAGAAAGCAGGTCTTTAAGATATTGAATAAAAGTTACCTCTCAAAAGTTTATCGCTTCATCGTGGTTGAGAGGTGGTCCTGGGTGCAGGGTTGCGATGAAAAGCAGGGAGATTCATCCCCACAGCAGGGCCTCCCAAGCAAAGGAGTCCGGTTTTTCTATCAGAAAGCCCAACTAAGACTAAACCATTACCAGGATCGACACCGTTCTGGTGTCGAACTACTCGTACGGTAGAAAATCTCCCTCTGTTCCACAAATACGGCGACTGCCTGTGGTGGTGACGACATGGGGTAGACTTTGGCTAGGCTGACCTCGGGACTCTGAGGAACCACAATGGCTAAGCCAGCAAACCTCGGAAAAAATAGAAATTTTGCTGAGGGTCACGAAACTAGTGAATATGGGCCATCCAGTGAAGATATCCAAGCGAATAGAAATCGGAAAGTTACAATAAATAGCGTCTAATAATTACTGCCTGGCAAAATTATAGACTTGCCACGTGAGCGAAAGGAGGAACTGAAAGTCACAGTAAAAAGAGAAAGTATTCTCAGAAAATCTTTGGCCTATTGACTATTCTACGAATCATGTTTCTTGAAATCAGATTTTTATTGCAATCAGCAGTAAGGAAATAGTCACGATTACATTGATGTGTGGTGAGCTGAAGGGGAAGCGCACCCATGAACTAAAGAAACAGTAAAAAAAAAAAAAGATGACTTGAGGATAAACTGAGGGAGAGAGCATAAAGAAACCACACTATGGAGATTTTCTCATGAAGGACATTTCCAGTTGTTGCGTAGTACTTGCCTTCGTCTCCTTAATGTGTAGTAAGCATGTCATGCCACGACAGTCGTTCTCCTCACATACGAGTTCTAATTCCTTTCTCAGAATGAACACATTCCCGCGTTGGATTGTTATTTTCAGCTGCACTGTTCCTTCAGTGCTTGTACAAAAACTTCAAGTTCCTCGAAGTCCTTTTACAACACGAAGGAAGAATAAACATATATGGCTTCACAGTTCAACAGTTGATGACACTCCTAAAGAACTGCCTAAACTGTTCCATCTTAAGATGGTCCGCGAGGCATTACGCACAGATGAGAGGGCTGGCAATTGGGACAACGATGGCACCAAGCCTTGACATTGCATTTATGTCTAAAGTGGAAGCACCAGTAACCGTTCTCCGGCCATTACTCTACTGTAGATATGTAGATGACTGTTTTGTCCTTTGCTCAACACAAGAGAAAATGGACAAATGTTTCGAGTTGTTGAATGAACAGTCGGAGTATATCAAGTTCACCCGAGAGAAAACGAAAGAAAAATGGCTTCCATTCCTGAACGTCCAAATTAACCTGTCAGAAAATGGTTACATCACGAAGTGGTATCGAAAGCCAAGTAGTAAAAACATGATGGTTCATTACTTCTCCTCTCACCCCTCTCACACGAAAAGGGCGCTTGTGAGAAACATGTTTCGAACAGCCACCAGCTTGTGCACAACAAGACAGCAGACGGAGGAGTCGCGGAACTTGGCACGACAAATAGCCATTCTTAATGGCTACGAAACTGCAGCTCGGGATAGGTGTAGAGGAAATCGCAGACTCCCAAACGATAACTCTAGGGGCAATAAGGCCCCGTTTATACTGCCCTTCATTTCAAATGAAGTAAGTGCAGCTATAAAACGTTGTTTAGGAAGAGCGGGTCTAGAGAATTCGGTAGGGGTCGTAACCGCCTATATGACCGTCTATGAAAGCAAAGTTACTTCATTTACCCTAATGGTAGAGACGGTGAATGCGTGAGTACGGGTACAGTCTATCTGATCTCTTGTAAAGCGTGCGGGGACGAGTACATAGGCGAAACAGACAGACCACTCTGTGGCCTTATAAAAGAACACCTAGTCGGCAAACATAAACCAAATACCCCGCTAGGCACGCATAGGACCCAGAGACATAACAAGGAGGATTTTGAAGTAGTGGTTACGATTCTCTCACTGTAATCGAAAACACAAGCGCACAAAATTTTCGAAGCTTTCTGGATCAATTCCAAAAATCCGAAAATGAACCGCAGGGAGGAATGCCTCACTATCACGCATGATATTAGGTAGTATTTAAACCTGTTATTCTGATGAGATGGTGACATTGCAATTCCATGTGAACTGTGTGCCTTGGCCTCCACTCGACATATTCAGTGGAAGACTCATAGAAAGCGGTGAGTGTGCAAAGAAACTATTCTGTGTTCAATGTGATTAAAATCTTGGTTTAACATTTTCTCTGTTTGGTTATGGAGGTGGTTGGCTGGGTAGATTGCAGTCAATTTGACCTTTCCAGGCTCTGAGGAAGGCGAAATCCGCCGAAACGTCAGCTTGTTCTTGAATAAAGAATAAAATAACACCTCGCGTTTGCTCAGCAAGAATATAAAGAATTATTTGATCAATACCGAGGTTAATAGAAAGTCGGTAGTGAAAATTTAATGTTTTGGACAAAAAAATTTTAAGATAACCAATTAGATAGCCACCTTGGCAAATCAAAGAGGCGTAGAAGTTATCCGCCTACTAAGTTCAAGAACAACCGATATTCTTCGAAAGGACCGAACCTGGCGTGGGCGGAAAAGGGTACCGGAAGCATTCGTTGCAATTCTCGCAGAACGAATCCACAAACGTGAGATTTCTGATTTACTTGCAGATGTCGCCAGTTGTTTTGCGATCACATCTGCACCAACTTCGTCCTCAACAGAGTCTGTCCAGTCGACCAAGCGAAATCGGCTGCCGCTTTTCTGCTCGATTTCACTCGTGTGCAGGCGAGTTAATCCAACACGTACAATAAGACAGATTTATGGAGCTATAGGGTTGAGAAACAGGCAATAATTTCTCATTGAACGAAAGACTACAACAAACAGTGCAATAAAAAGTAAGCGTCAGACGAAGATAAAAACGTGCAGTGAATGATGATGCATTGATTTAAAGCATTTATTTATTTACAAGTCTTCTTAGTAGGGGTTACGTGTAGTGTCCTGGTTAGAGATATAATACCACACACAGCTGGTCGTTTTACCGATCCCACGCCAAGGCGAACTAATTTCGATCTTTTCGGGCCATCTCTACATCGGTGGACTACAGACCTGTATCTGTGGATAAAAGCATTAACCTAATATCTCGTAACTTTTACTTACTATCTATTCTTTGCTTATGGTAGGATGCGATATGAAATACAAATACAGGTATGCTAAGGTAAGAGCGGAAGTCACATCTCCAGGTGGGTTTCGAACTCGTAGTTGCACTTAAATAGGGTTTAAGTGATATCTACCACACTTACCTAGGCTCTTGCTGTGCTCTTTTCTCAGCCATGTTTCTTCTCCCACTGAGTTGATATATCTATTGGCAAACACAAGTTACAAGTCACTTAGGTCACATATGCTTTCAATGACATTTACGAATGCATAGCCCAACCCTCAGGAATTGCTCAACTCCGAACGTTTTATCCTTACATCCTTTACTCTATTACTACCAGTCAGTGGTAAATCCCATGTTTTGCAGTACATTCCGAACAGGCGGATAGTACTCACTCGTAGAACTTTGGGAATTCCTGGGTAGAGATCCGAAAGTGATGCTAACGAATCATCTAAAAAGTTCTGTGGCGATTTGAATACATCGTAATCGCAGCAAATAGGAGCATAAGAATATAGAGAATTAGCGAAGACATTTCATTCAAGCCTTAGAAGCTTTCCTGAGTCATAAAAACATATGCGTTGTAGCGCTGGCATGACGCCATGAAGGCAGAAGCTCACTTCCTAACAGCTAGTCGTCTAATTGCCGACCACTAATTTTAGCTTCCATGTTGTGCCATTCCAGTGTTCCCATGAACTTCTCAAGGGTGACGGTGAATAATTTTGTCGTGATGGTAATACCTCGTCTAACTCCTCTTTTAACGTCGATGTTAATATCGTTGTAGAATGGTGATATCTTCGTTGTGAAACTTTTATGCAGATCACGAAGAATTTCTGTATACTGAGCAAGGACTCCTGACTGTTCAGGTCTTCCATTACCGCTTCTATCTCAGCTGAGTCAAAAGCCTTCTTTAAATTGATGGAAGAAACAGAGAGGTGGTTTGCACTGTTGTGATACTGCAATAGGTCTTGTCATCGTGTGCACGTAGTCCATCGTACTAAATCCTTTTGAAACTCTGCTTGCTCAGACGTCTGTTCTTCGTGCAGTGTTCTGTCAACCTTGTGGTGGGTGGGCGACTTGAGTGAAAAGTTTACGGAGGACAGACAGCGAAAAGATTGAGCAATAGCTGTTTGTATCATGGAAGTCACCAAGTCACCCCTTTTGAACATTAGCACAGTCTTGCTGGTCTTCTACTGAGTGGGAACTTCGTATTCAGACATGTAATGTGTGAACAGCCGAGCCAGCGTGTTTACAATAACTGGTGGAAGGTTTTTCAGGTGTTCAGCTCTTATCCTGTCTGGACCTACGGTTGTTCACTTCTTCACCGACGAAATAACTTGCATGTTTTCTGAAGGGCGAACCGGTGGTACGGCATATCTATCCTCCATTACTTCATATTAACGTAGGAAACGCGACGATTGAAGAATGTTCAGGATCATAATCTTAACTGTTTTATTTATTGCATACTCTTTTTTAATGCCTCAGCTTAACTGAGTTCATTGCCGATTTGGGCTTCCCAGATCAATCCCGCTGACGGGTAATTGCTGATGGTAAAAATCAATAGAACTAGCTGAGAGATAGGCGAAACGAAGGACCCGCACCGCATGATGTGGTGGTGAATGCGTTACTCGCCGGAAAGGATAATAGCGCGTTCGTTCTCCACCGCAGACACCTGCGGTACGGAGTTTTGCAAATATCTCAGCACCATTGAAAAGTCAGTTTCGTGAAAATGCTTTATTTCTGCTAATTTAAAAATTTAATCGGGTTAACCAAAACCAATTAATCACTCCGTTTTCTTCTCGTCGTTGATCAATAAAACATCCATCATCTGTCAATTGGCATACAAATATTATTCACTCCCGTTGATAAGTTGATAACAGACAGGATTTATGATGTCTTCGCCGTTAAGCGATAAATCAAAAATCTCGCAATTGTAACCACTAAACTCCAGAAAAACGCAGTTGTTCGCACAATTCGAGACTTTGAAATATCGACTTGAAAACTGAGGTTTTCCGATTTTTGCATAGGAGTAGAGTAGATTAAACTGAATATTAACATCTCATAACTGTCTCCGGTGTCAACGAATCGGTCGACTAACCGATTGCTTTGTGCTAACACAATCGCAGGCGTCGCCGGTGCGTGTAGTGCAGTGGTCGGAGGTGCCATGTAGTACACATGCTATCTACCCCCGCACCCTAGCCGACAATGTTAACGACCAGAACAACAAAGACCATCGCTGATTAAATGTGAAAACGTGCGTAAAGGAATCAATCTTACAGCTGTCTTCGATCATTCCTCCTTCGTCAGTGTTACTGTGTGAGTTCTTTTGCTTAGGAATCTCACGGATTAGAGCTGGATGAGAGATCGAGAGAGATGTTCGATATCATTAACCATTGTCGGAACTCATGATAATAGCAGGTACCCTGCAACGCACACGTGGAATCGATCCGTGCACTCTAGGCTCTCCAAGCCTTCAGCCTCTCTAGGGTCGGCTAATTGGTAACAGACTTGCCTGGGTGGTAGCAGCAGTGACTCGATACATCGGTAGACCACCGTGAGTCATTGTGAAGGCTAGGTATGCATTCATTCACCTCCAGCGGTGCTTAATAAGGTCAAATGCGTGACACATCCCTGAGGGATTGATCAACGCCGAGACCTTTATTCTTTACCTTTTAATGCAATCTCTAGCATGCCGACTTTCTTTACGACTACGGATAATTTCTTCACCAAATCAGTAGTTGGGAAGTTGAGAATTTCATAGACTAATTGGTGACAGTTAATTGTATCATGTTATGGATGCATTCAACTTCCAGAGAATATCTCCTCCCTCCCCCCTCCAGTTTTAAATTTCATTGGAATTGGAGTTTAAAAATTTAAAAAATGAAAATGCATTTTGGGATTTCAAATTTTCGCTTGCAGAGCACTAATGAACGGTATATAGGGGGAAGCACGGTGTTCCACTGGGCGAAATTCCTAGATTCGAAATGCAAGGTTCTAAAAGAAAAGACTAGTGAAAAATACATTTCGTGGACTTCAGAAAATCAGGATTTCATTGTCATGTGATGGAAAAGAACTTGTATCTGGTTGAAAACAATCTACAGATTCCGTTCGCTTTTATGTGAATTAAAAGAGTCCATTAAATGAGGCGAGATATGTAGCCTTAAACATAAAACAAAGTGGGCATTATTTTCGGGTTGTATGAATCCACGTAGTTAGTGAACGCTATCTCCGTTGTGCATGGTATTAAACCCGTTCACATCATTTTGGACGTACAGTGTCCATACGTGGTGGCCCCAGTAGACACTGTGGACACTGCAGTTGAGTGAGCTCTAGATAGTCTCGATACAGAGGAAAGTCTCTTCTACAATCATGTCTTGCTTACTGTCAATCTCTTGAGTGCTCTAACTATCGAAAAATTGTTGTTATTTGTCAAAATACCAGCCAATTGATAAAGGATTAAAGTTAGACGTCGTCAGGAATGGGCTAATAAAGACTAATTTCAGGTGGACTCCTGGCTGCAGCACTACGCCAGGATGTTGAACATCTCCGTGGAAGCGGCTTATCCACCGCCCTGCGCCCAGCTGCAGTGTGATGACTTCGCGTGGCAGTGCAGTCGTCTCCGCCAGGTGGCCGACGACAACGGCTAAGCTTCGACACAGCCGTGAAGGTGATTCCATCACGAGTAAACATAAAGTGCATAAACGAAGACAACAAATCATATTTTCCCTCCACACCATCACATGACATGTAGTACTTACGAGGTGAACTTGTCAACACGACAGTAACCATAGTGATTGGTGAAATGATGAAGTGCATACAAGGACATCATCACGCATGATTTTCGTTGAAAATAATAAGAGGAACTGAAATATTTTCTGGTCATTCAGTCTTTGAACCGGAGTCACTGAAAACGAAATTTCCCTAGATCTATTTAAAAGCCCTTAAGCACAGCATTAATTCAGAAATCATGGAGAAAGAAAAACAGCCGTGAGACATGGTCGCATAACAAACAAAAAAGAAACAGCTCGCAATAAATAATGCGTCGGTTGGATGTGAGGATTTGAGGAACGTGGGAATGTTTGCCTAAGAGGTTTCCGGACTTCGTAATAGTTGTTAAACCTCGAATGGGAACTATTATTATTTTGTTAACTTTTTATTTCGTGCCAACTATAATTCATGACGGCAGGGTATGATGTCAATTACAATCACAACTATCCTGAGATATTCGCAAAATTTGGACCCAAGGCCAGATCGAACCGCGATTTCCCTTTCTGGGAGCTCGCGCACTACACATTGCGCCACGGAGGTCCTTGCACTGCAAGTGCTCAGTTGTTGTTGTTTTGTTTTCTAGATTGAAAAAAATCTGAATCTCGAAACTAAAGGTACAAAACAGAAGCCACAAAAAAGACATCAGTTCTAAAAAGAAATATTGGAGGAATATGAAGTGCTGAAGGCAAAATCTTCGTTTCAGAAAGGAGTAGAGTTCTGAACAAAGAAGTTATGTGATCTATGTGGAAAGAATCCTATTAACTAAATATCAGAACGACTTTTTAAAGTCATTCCCATGGAAAATTTTTAATGAAGACTGTTTAATCATTTAAGTTCCTTCAGTTCCAATTTTTCCTCACATTCATATAAGTTTATGAAAATTCATACAAATATAGCTCAAGGACTAAGGAAAGAATGGAAGGACAGAAGCGCCTCTAGAAAATGAAAAAGAATCCGAAGAATGATGGAATAAGCCATGTACCTGCAATGAACGATAATCGGAGCGTCGACGGGATTTTTTTCGACGTACTGTCTCACCCTTCGGCGTAATTCGATGAAGGCAGAAACGTAAGGAAAAGAGTCCAACTCCCATTCGGTGAAGTGAAAATGTTTAACGGTTCGAGTTTCGGTGCCGTCAGTGGTTTGCCGTGTGAGTCGAAAGGTACGAAACACCTGAACATAGAAACCAATTTCCATCAACAGTGGTAGTCATGGTGAAATATAACCGAAGCCATGAAAACGGAAGGCCGACTTGAACTCAGCTGAAACAGCCATGTTGACTAGAGAGCATTACAGATCTACAAAAATGACCGCGTAGTTCAACGTCATCAAAACTCATACCATGATTGCCAGCGAAGGTTTTCTTACCTCTCCCTAGTTCAAATCCACCTTCTGGAATATGGTTTCTCATTTTACCACTATAATGCTATGGAAAAAATCAAATGTTCATCTAATCTTCTTTTTTCATCATGTAAGCAACATTGAATAACTCTTCAACAAACAATAAGTGAATAGAAGTACTAAACGATATCGAAATTCATGGTGCGGAAAGGAATCTCCCATATTTTCTCCTCAGCCGTTATTTCATTGCCGTGGTCCCATTTAGACTGGATTCAAAAGATTTTTGTAAAAGTTTCCACAACTGTTAAAATATACGAACATGCAACAATACCGAGATGCTGAGACATTCGCAAAACTTGGACCCCGCGCCAGATTGAACCACGATTTCCCTTTCCGGGCCGCGTGCGTTACACACTGCGTCCGCGTCACGTAGGCCTTTGCTGCGTTTCTCTAAGCAAATGGGAAAAGGATAGAAAACTTGCCGGCATCTAGGTTTTGCGGATATCTCAGCATAGTTGTGGTCGCAATTCCCATTACACCCTACCGTGAAAAAGTATAGTAGACAGAAAATAAAAGGTAACATTATACAAGCATATTTAGTTGTACAAACCTTGCCATAAAAACGCATTTGTCGTATGAAGAGTCATTTTTTCGCCTACCGAGAAATCGTATCTACCACATTCGAATTTCAACTACTCATCCGATTAATTATTATTTCAAAGTAAATTTGGATTGTCCCGGGTTCGCCGGAGAAGGCTTGCAATGATAAACACCACAATCTCAATTCTTCTGTCGAAAGAAAGATCGAGTTCTAAATAGTGGAAAATGGTGAAAAAGGCTCAGCAGAATCCCACGGAAGCTTATATAAAGAACTTGCACATTTAGAAGATCTGAAAGAGAAAAAGAGGGAGAGACAGAAGGATGGCGAGACCGAGAGAAGGAGAAGAGAGTTGAGAATCAAATTTTACCGACTTTGTTCTTTGACAATGAGATCAAACAAAATTGCTTGCATTACATTCGCATTTATACTATTTCGAAACCAGTTATTGGTAGAGACTCAAGTTCTCCTTACTTATCGTGAAAAAGCTGGGGTGTAATAATTGTGACTGATTTATGAGGCTGGAAAGAATGTTTTTTATTACCTTTACAGCAGGATAGCCTTGTTTCATAAGAATAGCGAAAAGAGCGATTAGTTTATTATCCAAATTCTCAGGAAACTCAGTAATAGAGATGGGAAGCGGGGTAATAGCTGCCACTCTGAGTTCAAATACTGCTACCCTTGCTCAACAACGGAGTGATGGATCCATGTTTCATCATCTGCCACAGTTCATTCAATAAACGAATCCTCTTCCCGTGCAGCTAACAAAAGAGTGCAAGTACAATGCGTTTAAAGGTTTAAACACTTGATGTCGACTCAGTTGATGAGGGAGTTCGAGCTCTGAACTTAGTCGATGAGAGGTATTCCTGTTAATCTTGCCGATTTTATGAAGTTTACATGAGCAGCAAGAAATATAATGGCCATCTACTGACTGGTTAGCCATGCGTAATACATTTGTTTTTGATAGTAAATAGATTTTATCGATCTCGTGTTAGGTTAATAACAATCCAAGAAGATGTTGTCTATTGATACCGAGGTTAAGGAACGGTCTGCTTAAAAACCAGCCTACCACACGTTTTCATTCTTAAATTTAGTAATCGGGAGGTTGTTAAACAGCATACGTTTACTTCCACGACTGACGACTCGTCAACCATGTGCGACTCTGAGCAGCTGTTTTTCCTCGGTGGAAGACAGGTGAAAAAGCTATGAAGAAAGCGATTCTGCCGAAACGTCAGCTACGGCTGTGTTGTATGTGTATTATTGTATGGAAGTAAACGTATGCTGTTTGACAACCTCGCAATTGCTGAGAAAGAAAACGACGATTTTATAATTCAATGCCGAGTTTAACATAAAATCGATCCTGGGAACTCTTATATTTAGTCCCTCACTTTTTAGGTAATACTTTGTGGATATTTTACTTGCACTTTGTAGATACAGGCGCAGCCATGGAGGTTTGATGTGCTGCTATCCTCCCAGATAAGTCTGGTACCAGTTTGCCGACTTCAGAGGGAAAGAAGGCTTGACGTGCCAGGGGTGTGGGGATCGATCCCATGTGTATTTCAGGACGCCTCCGACTACGCCACGCGAGCCCAAAAGAGACAAATAAAAATGAATAATTGGTTGCGGCCACTAAGATGTAAGCAAACAGAACTCTCTGCAGTATGGAAAAAATCGGGGTTATTTTAGTAGGGCAAATTCCCATTTATCTTAAAGAAGGGCAACATGGTAATTAATATTGTCATTCAGATGGCAAAATGAACACACTTCAGAATCGCGAGCACCCACTAGAGGCGGTCCATACGATACTTCTTATTCCAAATAATTTCTGTCCTTTATCATCCCTGCATTTATGAATTTCAGTGCAAATTCGGACTCAACTGTTTTCAACAATTCCTCTCTCATTACATAAAACATGTGTGATGATGTCTTCGTTCGTAGATCCATTTCCGAATGTTCTTCGTTATTTCCTTGACATTTCGATGGCCACAAAGCTCATAACAGATACACGACTTGTAACATATACTGGAAAAAACTGGAAAACTGTATGGAACATCGTCCAAGCACCGTCCATCTTAGACGTGGACGACCAAGTGGTACTCTTCCTTCACAAAGCTACGCTCTGGAACCTCTCTGTGAGGAATGAATCATGAATACTTGTCAATCACTCTCATTACCCCTGTCAAAATGTAGACATCTCAAGAACTCACAAGATCTCACTAAATTTGAAGCACATATTACAACGATTACTCCATTTATGATCCCTTTCCATTTACTGTCCTTTCTTCATCAGGGGACGAAGCGAAATACATCTATAATGATGCTGAGATATTTGCAAAACCCCGCATTGCAGGTGTCTGCGGTGGGGATCGAACCTCGTTATTACACTTTCAGGTGCTAACATATTCACCACCACACCATGCGTGGTTCTTCGTTTCGCCTTCTCCTCAGCCGTGTTTTATATGCGCTATCAGCAATCACCAGCTGCAGACACCTGCAGCCTTGAGTTTTGCAAATATCTCAGCACCAATGTACTTGGATCCCTCGATTGTCCCCGCAGTGCAGCAAAGAATTCGATCCTGAATCTGATCGAAAAAACCATATTCTGGAGAACGAAATATTTAAACCCGTTATTGGCAACGAATTAATGTTTTCTAGAGATATAACCACCTAATTTGAAGCGTTTTGTAACTGTTTTGCCCTCCTTATAAATGAACTTCATGAAATTACTAAATGAAATTTCTCAGAGGACAACAGGTCGAATTTGTGAAATACTTTGCAAAACACTTCAAGATATTTTGTAGAACTCGGGTGGCCGGTGGTCGGATTTTTTGAGGCCAGATGTAGTAAACATTCGGTGAACTATTTCCCACATACAACGCTAATCCCTTCGTTGCTTCGGCAACCCGACGCCGCGGATTGGAGGTCCGAGTCTGCGATAAACGGATCCATCATTTGGCGCTCACACTCGAGCACACATTGCTTGCCGCAGTGAATTTGTAAACCAAACCCTATTGCCATGGAGTATCCCAGTAAGATCAGAAAACATCGTAAACGAATGAAACATTTTTAAAACATGGCGTATCAATCAATCAATCAATCACCACGGTATATTTGAAGGCATTTTCCAAAAACTTTGGATTTTTGAAGTCCTAATGATTGATTAGTGATGTGCTTTGGGAACCACGAATTAGTATCCTCAGATGGCCCTCAATGGAACAGCTTAATCCTCCCAACCATCTTTCGCAAGGTGTCTTACTGAAACTACTGAAATCGGCGACCGATCACTTACAAAGTGTGCGTAGGTGTGAGTGTCGATCGTCTCCACGTCGATGTCGCCAAATGTGAATCGTGTCAACGGCCAGTACTGTAGACACATCACCTAAACAATTCGGTTGATGAACATAATGTCTACTAGCTCAATGGCTGTGTTTTTCGTTGCTGTATAAAAATACTATTAAAACATATATATCGACATTCTTATAAAATACTTGCCAGTGCAAACTTTTTATTTGCTGCCTACTATAATTTTTAACGCCAGGGTGTGATGCGAAATGCAAACAATGTTGCTGAGATATTTGAAAAACTCCGGAGCGCAAGTGTCTACGGTGGGAAACGGGCTATGCCGATTTGGGCTGCCCAGATCAATCGCTTTGAAGGGTGATTCCTGATGACATTGGTATATAGGAAACTAGCTGAGAGACGCGCGAAACGAAGGACCTGCATGGTGTGGTGGTGAGCGCGTTAGACCCTGGAAAGAACAATTGCGCTTTCCGTTCCCCACCGCAAACACCTGCGGTCAGGAGTTTTGCAAAAACTTGTCGATGTTTTTTTTCCTTTTAAACAAACTTCTTTCGTTACGTTGTAGAGATAGTTTTCCACTTAAAATGATTGGAGAATGACAAATTAGAAGACCACAGTGATGGCGCACTTTAATGTAAGCGGAACATCATGGTGAATTTAACGCTGAGGACGAGTGCGTCAGCTCTAGCAAAAAGATGAATTATTTCACTACTAAGGAAAGCCTAACAGCACGCGTAGAACCGACGCGCAAAGCGATAACTTCGAGAAATCAAGCAATTCTTGTACAGAAAGTACGCCAACAAAATAGTTGTGATTTCTTCATCACCTGTGTTATTCAAATCCCATTAATTCCTGAATGACTCGGGCGAGTACCAACGAAATCTTCGAATAGTGGGCCGCTTGATCCAAGAATACGAGAACACAGTGCTTGTGAGATTCTTTACTTGGCTTGTTTTTCGCGACAGCGTAACGATACGTAGGTCGCCAAGCTTTAGTGTGGAGGTTAAGCATACGCGAAAGTGGCTTCATCGGTTCGCCTCGTGTAAATACGAAACTTTCACGTTCAAGGTAGTCATAGAAAAAACGGGCAATACATGTAATGGCATTCGAGTACACGAAAAACCGATTTTTGCTTGAAGTCACTTGTTTTTATTGTCCTGGAAGAGTTTCCAGCGGTTCCTTTTAGTGCTCTCACTTTAGAGATGTAGAGCAGCTTTGCTTTCAGTGTTGAACGCAAAGAGCTTTGCTTTTTTTTATGAGCGCGTCTGCCTGCTAACTTCTATTGAACGCGATTTTGAAGACACAATCTACGTAAACACATGCCCATTCATAGATGAGCATGACTACACGTATATAAAAGCAATAAATGAATCCGAGGAATAAGTGGAGTCGCTTGAGTTAATCACAGAGCGAGTACACAGTCGCATTCATCCTCGTTCCACCCCAGAGATGATGTCGTATCACAAAACCTTTAAACTGACCAACTCGCGATCACTCTCATGAAGGAGACTCATGAGCATCTTCATTTTTCCCATAAAGTGTTTTCCAATCTTCATGCTATGTCGATGAATTAAAACATCAAGATGGTTGATCTAAAAATGCGGCACCAATGAATCTGTAATCGACGAGGAAACACTTACTAACGCAAGTTATCTATTATAGTTCACGAAAACGAGATAACAAATTCAAATGGAACAAGGAAATATTACGCTGTTAGACGTATAAGTTTTAATTTCATAGTATAGGAGCTCAGTTAGCATATTGGTAGAGATGCTGTTCAATAATACGCGCAAGGACATCGGTCCGAATCCAATCAAAACCAACCAATTTCTTCACTTTACCGAGACAAGAAGTTTGTACCACACTTCTTTGATATGAACTCCATCCGTCCCAAAAACGTTGACGACTGCTGTGGTGAGGACCCGGAAAGGTCATGGCACGACAATTTTAGGATTCCACGGAAAATCGTCTCACCATCGTGTAATGACATAAATCCATAAAGGACATCAAAAATCCTCAAGCAACAGCCAAATCCACATGCAAAAAGATCTGAGACCTTTTTGGACGATGGATGCTAGGAGAAAAATCAAATGGAAGGATCGGGTTGTGCACAATATGTGATATCGCTTTACGTAACAAGAAGCATATGGTATATTTTTCCCGTTTCTACTGCTGGTATTTCAAGCAAAGTATACGATCGATACAGATTGCGCCTTTTTAGCTCAGAAATATTCCAAATTATTTTTTGTTTAATAAGTGAAGGATAGCAGTTTACTTCCATATTCATAGGAGCGTTTCCAGGATTTGGGCAGACTTTGGTCAGGCTGACCTCGGGACTCCAGGGAAACAATGTCTAGACTAGCGAAACTCCGAAAAATGGAGATTATGCTGGGGCTCACTCAGCCAACGAGGATAGGATCAGATCAAGTATCCAAGTAAGTTTCGAGGATATCTTTCATAATTCGTCCTTTGTTCTTGCGCGAATATTAGAATATTGTATTTCCATCACTGAAAAGGCAATAAAATTACAAGGAAAGCAGGCAATTTATAACTCACAAAAACGAATTTCTAATCAATTTCGTCGTCTGGATGCAAACATTGTTGTACTATTTTAAATATGTGGTATATGAATCGAAGCAGAATCCATAGCAGAATTGCGACCACACCCACAGTACAGGATAAACTTCTGCGTTTTGGTTGACCAGTAACGTTTTTTGTCTGTTAAGACTGGAAACCACTGATTACAGAGCGGGAAAAATTCACGTCTTACATCGTCTGTTGCGGAAATACACGAAAAAGAGCGTGCCACATGTGGATTTCGACACCACGGAAAAATAAAGAATGACGGCAGTTCATAAGAATACTCTAGCACGATCACAGTAACGGGATGAGCAGAGAATATCTTCAGCGAAAAGTTGGAAAAGAATTGCTTCGCGTGAACTGTGAAATTCTCCTAGGGAAGAAAATAGAAAGAAACAAGACAGTTTGGTGCAAAATTGGTTTAGTCCAAGCCGTCTGTCCTTCTTGATCACATTTTGAAAGAGTGCCGTGTATTTTAAGTTTTAAACTATTTGCAACAAATGTGTTTATCCCTTTCAGTTAACCCTTAGAACTGTTTTAGCCATTTAGATCACCACAACCATAAAGGTAGGGAAGTAAAGAGACAGAAGACGTATTGGTGGAAATCACTGAAGAAAAAATGAAAAAAAATGAAAATGAGAATAAAATCAATAATTCCTCACCTTCATAAAGTCAAAGACTTTAGTGAGCATAACGATACAGTTCGAACCGAGTTCCCACACCATACGCCAGAATTCTACGTTCATCGGTTTCGTACGGACCGCTTGCGTCACAACGTATGCTTTTTCCCTCAGCCAACTCTAAATGAATGAACACTCAACACTTTTGGTGTTCAGCTCAGGAGTCATTTGTTATTTCAATTTCTCCACCAAACAGTAAACCATTATTTTTTGTGCATCCGATCACAATGTCAACGATAGCAGATGAAAACAACCATGATCGCGTAGAGGATAAAGTGTCCAATGTTTACCAATCTTTCGAAAATAGGATGGATTATATTCCATTCGTGGAATCGTACAGTTGCTTGTAAACCTAGCTTGTACAATAACTTTTGGAAAGCTATCGATAGTAAGTCATTGTTTTTACGTTTCCATTCCGACGAAAAACCAACTTGCCGACTACAAAGGCGTGGGAAGTTGGTTGGATTATGGAACAGAATCGAGCAAACGATAACGTCAGTATTGCAAGACTGCTCTAAGAACTTTACTACATGAGCCCCTTATTACTAGATGAAGGCGTTCTCCCTCTTCTCTTTTTCCAAAGAGATCGATTTTTCCAAAGATCGATACTATTTTTTTTCTCTTTTTTTTCCTTTTTTTTGAAACAATCAATTCAAATTAATTTTTAGGTTATACAAGTATGGAAATCGATCCACTGGAAGTGAAAATCAGTGCAAAGCTACTGAATGTGATGACTTCGCAACTCTCGTGCTGTAAAATTTCACGCTCCATCAGGATAAAGGAGAAGAAACTATAAGCTATTTAGAGACGGGGATTGTGCCAAACATTTATGGCACAGGTGGATGAAACTAGTTAGAAAAGAAATTAATGAAGAGTAATTGCTCTGAATTCAAGCCTCATCAGAAAATGTTTGGTCTTTGTTTTTTTCTCTACACCACATTCTTTTCTACCTACGTTCACATAACTGGCATTGATGTAATGCGAGTTCTCATCGCACGTCAAACGAGGAAGAGTCACACGATTGTAATCGTACGGTAGCGTGTCCTGCAAGCAGTATTTTCAATTCTGAACGTTTACCCTTCAACAAATGATGGTTGTCTTGCCAGATATTTTGTCTCTGTCACTGCTGGCCAAACAAAACGAATACGTGCAATCAAATATCTCGTTGTCGAAAAAGTGTTCAGAATTCGTTTATTTTAAGAAAACATTCAAAATTGACTTTCTTCTTGCAATATCAGGTATTTTTTATTCGAAAAATGCAGAGTATTCTAGCGCTGAGAAATGCTGGGTCACAAAAAGAGAGCTATGTTGAAAGTTCTGTTGGAACTTACCGGGTAGGGGTTCCGTTCCCTCATCGTACTGCCGACTTCACATCGACATTTATTCGTGTCTATCGAGCGGTTAATCATCTGAAATGATTTTGTGTAAATATTCAGGAGACCGGGAACCATGGTGTGTGACTAATTTAGTGGAGTTCCGGAGAATCTGCTGGTGGTAATGGCGGTACCCCATCGCTCAAACCTCCCATAGAGTGTTTAGCAGCACGTTTTAATTAATTGTTTTCACACGTCGATGCAATCAGCACAACGTCATTGATTATATATCACCCAGAGAAACTCATCTCAAACTCAACTCAAACTCGAAAAACATAGATCCCATTTACCTGGTCGACGAAGGCGGGAACAAAGTGTGGCTGACATGGTGAGTACCTCCCAAGTTAGACAAATAACACTGAGAGCAGAAGAGGTGGGGGAGGGGGACGATCAGAGGCAGTTTTCCTCATTATGATTGAGAAATTAATGAAAAAATTCTGCTTGCAAAATGAATATGAATTTGAAGAGTGTCATACGTTTGAAATAATCGACGGCGATTTAGTGATGTCGAAAAGTAGTTGAAAGGAGCGGGAAGTCTTTAGAGAAAACGAATGGACCACAAATAATTGCTTTTTTTTATTGCGGAACCAACATCTGCCAAGCCCACGTGAAGAAAGACTAGTTCTATCAAATCTAACTAGTACAGTGGTCAAAAAAAGAATGCTAAGCCCAAAATTTTACTGGATGAAATGATGCAAGCCACAGTAACGAGGTTTTTCGATGGACAGAAGATTGATAGCCTATCAAAAACACTCGTTAAAATACGATGACCATGATTCGTCTCAGAAAAGGGGCAACAAAAAGAAGAACAACGTTTATATGCCACATTAAAATGTCATCAATAGCCATCCTTTGCAGAGTCGAGTCTGGTCTATCACACGAGAAACGAACGAGTAAAAAATTTGCCATGGCAAGAAAGAAAAATGGCTCTGAGTAGGTAGCAACTACGAATCCTTTCCAACAGTTCACACGAAGTTCCACCAGTGTTTAAAGGCAGAAATTTTAGAAAAACAAAAAATCCAAAAAAATCAAGCAGCTTATTGATTTAAATACAGGGTGAGAAAATTCTGCATCACACACTAGCAGTGAGAGTAGACAAGGTTTCTGGGTTTAATGTTCACAGAAACTTCACCACGAGAAAAGGCAATCGCTGAAGGGCACCATGGAACTTAGGAAATGATGAAACAGCTGAAATTCGTTTACAATCCCAGCGCTGACTTAGGATTAGTGACTTGAAAAGATCAACCAACCAAGTATTCTCCCTTAAAGAGTATTCGTTTTTTCCGCCGTTCTGTCACATAGGCGACAAATTTGGAGGCGTCGATAGGCGCCGTCGGCACCGCCTGCATCGCCTTCTCCTCTTGAACTGAAATTTACACGATAGTGGGACAATCCGAAACAACGACATCGTTTATAACCAGTTGAAGCATTCGCATAACTCTCCCAAATCATTGCTCAGCCGTTTATAGTTAAGCCGATGAAAATTACACCGTTTTGCGAGGAATTTCCCCAAAGCACAGTAGGCTAGTAAAGACTAGTGTTGATAGCCTTTTTAAAAGGTAATAATATTCACGTAATACGACGACATGATTTTAGATGCGGCATAAGGCTCGCCTTTGACTAACTGGAAAAACGCTCTGCCAGGGACCACATTTGTAAGCGGATACAACTGACCTTTGTCGGTCATCCGACCCCACTAGCCTTGTTATACCAAAGCCGACTTAAATACGTTGGCGAATACGAAACTAATAAATACGTCCTTAAGAATTCTATGAATGTTACTAACTCAACACCTCTCTCATTTGTAGTACCTACGATTTAAACACCGGGCTATCTTTTTTTTGCAAAACGAAGTAGTTGAGGCGCTCCAGTGGATGTCTTAGGTAGCTTGTCGAACATTAAGCTTACTTGGAAATTCCTGTTCAAAGAACCCCTTTCATTTGTATTTAAATGAAAAAAGCTTCAAATTTATACGGCTTCCAAATTTCACAGCAATGTTGGAAATTTCCTCACGGAACAATGCGATATAGTGAAAAGTTTAGAAACTAAAGATTATACTTTTCACGAAATATTCACCATCATTAAACCTTCCGTTATCAATTCTAGTTCTTGACAGATGGTTTAGCACCTAACAGTGATACTTCGGGTCAACTGTGTGCAAAACTGATCAGTGTTTAGTGAATGAAAGCCGTAGTAGCGCATTTCCAGCACCTCAGCCAACCTCTGCACTCAGAATCTGCCGAGGGAGGCGTCGATTGTGGACGACCGTGCCGCTAATCACTTCTCTGTCGGCGGTGCTTCTCGCCTCTGGAAAGCGCCCGACCTCGAGCCTCTCCGACCGGTCGCCGTCTGTGCAGTTCTCTCTCACAACAGCGGTGTCATCTGTCCAGATAGATTGCTTTGCCATACGAACAGATAATCGATTTCTGAGTGGAATCAATGAAGAAGAGCATGAATCGAACGGATTCCGGATTAGGCAATTGGATCGGATCACACGTATTTCTTCAACCCTTATGCTATCATTTTGCTATGCTTTTGTTCTAGGTCATCCCGCTATACTGCAATAAGTGAAATGGGCTTGTTTTCATAGAAAAAACAACGCTTACCCTAGTTGAAGACAATAAAGACAGAGCTGACTAAGAAGAAATGGAATATATAGTAACGGAATATCCACAGTAACATCAAATGTTTTTACTTTTATTTTTACGTTCTCAAGACCGTCTAGTAGTGGCGGAAATCCGATCCACTGGAAAAACATTGTAACACGCTATCAGATACGCAATACTCTCAAGAGGTGCAACTATTTCGCTATGTAAAACTCAATAAAGGGGGATAAAATGACAATAACCAAGGCTAATATCGCTGTGCTTGCGAAATGCGTTGGAACGAGACCGCTGAGTACTAATTCGACGAAAGCCAAGTCTTCGACGGACTCTAAACACAAAAAACCCACATTTAATTTTCTCTCGACCTAGCCTGCAAAATATTAATGAGCACTATCTCATATAATAGGAATAAAAAAAAGGCAGATATAGTGATAGGATTCGACATGAACGTGCTCTCACCTAAGACATACTGCTTGGCAAGGTTTGAAGCAGAGAGTGTTTTCCAAGTGTGTTGGACTCTTATTCGGCGCCGATTTTTCTTCGACGACGCTTGCAAATTGCCTGTAGAAAGACAAGCTCGATCGGGGTGTATGTTCTGGCTGGAAGAAGGACTCGAGCCGCAAAACATGTCGAACACTAGGCTGAGCTCAGAGACGCTCTTATTGCGCAGGTCGTTCCACATACGCTGACCGTCGAAATCACGTCTTCTATGTACGACTGATGGGCTTTCAGGAATTGAAAGATATTCCATGGCACCGGCGCCGTCAATGCGACGCCGCTCGGAGCCAGCGTGTAGAGCGGTTAGTGGACCATCATCTGCATTGGGAACGACGTCTACAGCAAGGGCTTCTCTAAGCGGGGCGTAGGTTGATCGACGGCGGCAGCGCCAGCGATCAGATCAATGTGCTGATCGTCGCCGCTCGGGGCGGGCGTAGCCGCTCCTCGGCCCTCGCCCCTCACTCCCTCCAGTTCGGCAGTACATCACGCACACACGCCTGTCGCGCGAGTAACGTGCAGAAGCGTGCTGTCCCTGTGTCACCAGCTCGTCGCCAGTCACCATCATCGAATCGTCTAATTCTTGGATCGCTAAACTTGTCGTCAAGTCATCGATTCAGCGATTACTCTCCATTTCTCATCACAACCGAAGGTAAGCCAGACACACAACCCCTACCTGGGAAAGTTGTTATAGCATTTTGCAAAATTATTTGCAAGAAGCAGTGTTGACTGATAGTGGACTGATTTTGCACTTCAATATGACGAAAGCTCTTAGAATCAGATGGCCATGACAGCCATATAAACGCTTTCTGTCAGAAGATTTATTGCTCATGGATGTGACGAGCTTCGAGAATCTGGCAAATAATATCGCGTTCCTTGTTTTCTCGTTGACACATCATGAAGCTGACACGAGGTTCCTACCAAACATTTAATCGGCTAACGTTCGACTTTTTCCTCGTTCTCAGAGCCGATGACTACAGTCGAAGAATAGGGTCGCACCTTTTGAGCGGTGCTTCACCGAAAAAACTCGACTCGGCACGACTACGAAGATACCACGTCGAGAACATGAACGACTGTGGGCCATCGACTCGGTTCATTGGGTCTGATGACGGCAAAGACGTCGAAACGCTAGCCGAATAAATGTTTGGTGACAACCTCATGTTAGCTTATCAATGAAAGAAGGTACATTGATCATTCATACCGAAGTTAAATGAGAATCAGTTTACAATATCATGGTTCTTTATTTTGAAGTACTTTCCTCTCCCTATGGGGCATCTGTTCTCGAGAATCTTAGTCGAAGAAAAAGCTGTGGTTTATTTCCATCCCAGGCAACACCAAGAAGGAGCAGGTATGATGAAACCGCTGAACGTAGCAGAGCTTGCTTAGATGCATAGAAATACGAAATAGAAAATAACAGACAACGGATTATGCGACTTGAAAAAATTTGTCATGAAACTAAAAGTCCACTTGAATAAATCTGAGTTCGACGAAAAATAATAAAGGTTGAAGATGAAACAGAGAATGACTTGGGAAACTGGGCCTAAGAACGTCCCCTAACCGACTGAAAATCCGTTCAGAAGTATTTTTAAACTTAAAATGACAGCTCGGTGTAAAGCATTGTTACCCTCTCGAAAAGTTAAAGAATAACGAATAAAGCTCACGGCGTTGATCAATCCCTGAGGGATGCGCCATGCGTTCGACTTCATTAAGCAACATTAGAGGCGATTGAATGCATATTTCGCCTTTACAATGACTCGCAGTGGCCTACCGATGTTTCTAGCCAGTGCTGCTACCCTCCCAGACAAGTATGGTACTACCAATTTGCCGACCCGGAGAGATGGAAGGCTTGGTGAGCCACGCCAGCGAGGATCGATCCCATGTTTGTGATGCAAGGCGCCTCTGACCATTGCGCCACAAGTGCCCTCTTGAAGAGTTACTCCAAAATATTTCCTTGTGTAATGACGAAAACAGAAAATTCTGGGAGATTTTTCCTTTGGAACAAATCGACTTCTCCGAAGTTTCTGAGTGGAGTAAAAGTCGGAATTCAATGCAGGAAAGGAGGTTACTAGAGAAGTATTATGTGACTCTACAAAAGAAACATCCACGAGAAGGTAAGAAAATTCTTTTTTCACTTTGTGCAACTTATGGTAGCAGAAAGTGCAGGTGGCTGTAAAATTCCAGAATATCTTTTCCGGAGATTTCCCTAGAAACAGCGCACTTCCAGTAAAAGGAAATAGAATGCTACACTTTGAAAAAACGGCATAATAGTCGCAGTTCAAAGGTAGTTCTCTTTTAAAGTGCTCTAATTCGAATCTTCAGAAATGGCTTGTACTGTAATTTATTTTGTACAGCTCTACCGCACTAAACAGTGTAAAAGCAATTTGTAGAAAACCATATAGGCAAGTCTACTTTTATATGATCTGCCAGCTCAATTCCCTTTACATTCATCGTGTGCCAGGTAACTTTAAACCACAATCCAGTGATTTTTTCAAGCACTGCGGAACTGCTTTCCTTTCTTCCAATCACACGATTTGATTACGAAAAGAAAGAGAACGTGTGCAGTTAGAGGCGTACTGTTGATGTGATCCTTTACAAAACACAATAAGAACTTCTTACATTATTAAGCCAACAAGATGCTCATAAAAAAGTGTACTCCGCCAATGTTTCAATGTCTCCGTCTTCTTCAGAGCCGGATTGATCCATTAGTGGTCGACAGGTGGTCGTCCTCGCAATACAAGAAAAAACTATTTACACCATATTATGTAAGCTTCTTAACTTTTAGTAGAAACCCATGTAAAGACCACTAATTGACTTCAGCCACTGATATTTGTAGAAAGGGGCCAATGATTTTTACCAGCATCCCATAACATCCTTCTCATAAAACTTCAACGATTAGTAGTCATAGATATCTCATGGACGTACAAGAAACTTCTCACTATCTCAGTAAAGCACTAAACTGGCTACTCGATAGAGTTTAATCGAACGCGTCTTTCGCTTTGATACTAGTAACCAACTACAGGTGCCCGCCTGGCATTAGCAGCTCTCAAGCGGAAGTACAAGAAGTGCAAACGAGCTTTTAACTGCTGAAAAGGATAAGACGTCGTTTCCGGCACTTGAATTGGTTCATACGACGAGTCAGTTAAGTAGAAAAATCAGTTAGCTATATACAACTACAACTACACAAATCTAGCCTGTACAATGATTTGTGCAGTACCCCAGCGATGTATCAGTTCAGTGTTGGTATTCTCTCAAACAAGTCTGGTACTAATTCTTTGACCCCGGACAAATACGAGGGATAGTTATCCCGGAAGTACGATCCAATCAGCAACCGATCCAGTGTGTATCCCGGAGCATCTATTAGCTCTGCGCTACCTTGCTGATAACACAGGGAAATGATTCTTCGGAGGAGGCTGAGATTTGCCAGAAGGTGAAAACGAAGCGAATTTTCGTCTGGAGTGTTGAAATCAATAACAGTTCTCAATAAAAAGAAAACCACTAATTAACTAACATACTAATTTAGCTCTAATAGCACATGTTCTGCGCTCCTTAAAGTTGACCTGCAATACACACGTCGTTTTTGGTTCAATTCCATGTCTCAACCTCCTAAAGCCTTCTATCTCTTCGGTGTCGATAAATTGGTGTCAGAGTTGTATGAAAGGATAGCAGCACTGACTTGATACATCGGTGAGCCACAGCAAGTTATCGTGTAAACCAAACATGGACTCAACCACTTTCTGATGTCGAACGCATGGCGCATTGCTCAGCGACTGTTCAACGGCGAAAGCATTATCTTTTAGCCTTTTAACAAACGTATTTTTATTTATTTCACTTCACACACAATCCTCCCTCATTAGCTCTTATTCCTTGAACCCCTGGAGGTAGCCGGGGTAAAGCGTCCCCACATGGATTGGAGGAGAGTGTTGGGAGCTGGATCAAATTAACGTCATTGCTTCCTGATCGACGGCATCACTAACCAGTGCGCTATCCCCACACCAACTAAAATATCACGTCAGTATTGTTCACTTGCAGATCAGTTGCGTGATTTGCACCATTTGTAGTGATATCATAGAATAAGCGTTGACTCTGTGTTTCTGAGTTTTTTCAAAGAAATCTAAATTCAGTGATTATTGAATTTCTTAAGGTTGATGAAAATAGTGCTTAATCTCCAACTTAACTTTGAGACACGATATTTTAGCGGAAGATTCCCAAGAGGAAGGTGAAAAAAGCACCTGAATTGAGAAGCATTACGTAGATGTTGAAGAAAGATAGCGCCTCAGGCATATAATGGTCTTAAGCCAAAACGACGACAGTGAAAGCGAGTGACTCTGTGACATTTCGACTTCCAGATTGATAAATACGTTGCCAAAAGAAGATTAAATTCGATCCATCAAATGGTAACATTATCTCCATGAGAATCAAATCCACATGAAAAGGTCCGGCAGATCCATTGAGATTGCTGGGAATTGCAGAAGCTCAGAGGGAACAGAGCATAATGGCTTCATGTTTCCGCGAACTCCATTGAAACTAATGGAAGCCGGATGCGTTTCAGATTCAACGACTCAGGCGTAGGGCTCAATCCGAAGCATCGACTAAGGAGTTATTTTCTCTACTAATCTATGTGCGGCATTTGAAACCCAGTAAAGCACTCCGCGAGTAAGAATACCGCTAGAATATCTGAAGTTTTCCAAGAGGAGTACCTCAGCGGTGAGAGCAGTTATACCGTAAGAAGCTGGAATTTTCTTCGTACTTCGTAAGAATAGTGATAGGAAAATTTTCATATAGATCTGTTATTTGGGAAGAACCATGAGCATAAAATTTTCTAAAGTAAGCTTATAACACGAAAACAGCCATTTGCATTTTTTCCTCCCAATGCGCACTTGATGCTGCTTAACAATAAACGAAACCAATCAAGATAATTACAAAACAGAAAAAATGAGGTTCCGTCGAGTTGTATTGGCTCCGTTAACAACAATAAGAACATATACACCAACCTCGCGTCGACTAAAAAAGGGCAGCTCGTAAGAATACATGTGCAGATGTATTAGCTCTAATTTTAATTTTTAGCGCTATTTCGAGATTGTGAAGGGCAAAGGTGTAAGTAGGAATCATTCTAAAATCAGAATGAAAAGAAGTTCCATCATCATCATGTGGCCGTTTGGCTCCTTCGTTTTGACTTCTAATTTCCTTCTCAGTTTTTCGAGTAATTCCGCATTTTATTGCTGAAGGACAGAATTGGTTTTCACCAGGAATATTCTCATATGGAAGAAGCCAAACAACATGATGAATGCTCAGCGAATTTGTTTACAAAGAATGTATGACAGTGTAAGTAGAGTGCAAAGCTAGCACTCAACAGTTCATGATCTGCTGGAAGAAGAAGAAGAAGCTTTAGATTCATGATATAAGGCCCCAGAAAGTTTGAATAATCAACACAATTAAAAAGGATAAGAGTTGAAACTTTCGGCGTTGATCAATCTTTGGAAGATATGTCATGCATTCGACGTCAAGTATCGTTAGAGATAACTGAACGCATGTTTAGTCTAAACAATGGCACACGGCCACCTATCG